TAGACAACAGCCAGATACCATAGCTGAAGGTTCCCCTAGTGGGGAGGAGTCCCCAGTGTGTAGAGCCTCCAATAGCTGACTCCTGCATCATCACTGGTGTAGGGGTAATCCTGCTGGGGATGAAGGGTGTGGCCACTATGGCAATCCCTGGCTGGTGGATGGCCCTTTATCAGCAGAGGCAGCCAGGCATACTGGGACTGCTCTACATTATGCCAAAGACCAAAACAGCTTTAGGATCAGGGAGCTGCAAATGATTCTCTGTCATCTCCACCCAGCATATACTGGATGCAGAAGAGGAGTGGGGTGAATGACTTCACCCTAGAGGATTCACTACAGTTGCATTGCATTTTATTTTCCTGAGACTACACAATTCTGAGTTCTTAATTTTGTCAGAGTCTGTGTTAATTCTTCCTTTGTTTCCTTTGCAGCACATGTTAAAAGAAGACGAAATGTTTAAAGACTTTGCTACTTGCTCTCCTTGCGCCAGTATAACAGATGAAGATTCAAATGTGTGACCGTAACTGCCGAATACCAGTAAAGAATTCAGTTTCTTATATGCTAGGAACATCATCGTTATATGTGATGGGCAGCAGATCATGTACATTACATTGTTCTTGCTTCTGTTTGTTAGAAGTGATATTTTTGAGTGGATAAGGAGAAAAGGTGCCTATTCTAAAGTTGCCATAAAAAATAAACCAACCAGAGACTGGTGAGCGGTAGTGTAATTGTTTTTACTATATTTAATGTACAAACCTGTGACATATATTCCAAAGTATTGCATTTACAATTGGCTGCCATAATGCTCTTTATGCTTATTCATGTTGTGAAATGTGCGGTTTCAAAATAATAGGAAACATTCAACTTGTAAATAACCTGCATCAGCATTCAGTGTGGCTTTCAGCTGAAAAAAGATATCACTGGTGTCCTATTTTAATGGATTTGTCCAAAGTAAATACCAGTTCTTTCCTTTCATATCCAGCGTAGGCCTCCAGGCCCCACTGCCCTACACAAAACTCAAGGTAACTCTTGACTGTTGCTGTCTTATTTTTATACTGTTTTATATATTAAAACAAATTATATGAAGTGCATGTAAAGCAGAAGTTTTATTTTGTGACATAAAGTGGTGAAAGGTTCAATTGTTTTTTAAAGGGATGATCCCAGTTTGCAAACCAGCTGGTTACTGGAAAAGTCATACTGACCTTTGAACTGTTTGCTTCCTTTTGTTTTTAATTTTTGCAACGTGTCGTCAACATTCTTATGTTTTGGATGAAGCTATTGTGAAATGTAGATCTGCTTGCATCACATTTCTAAATCTGTAATATCTGAAATTTCTCTTCTTTTCTTTTTTCCTCCAGCAGCAGCTATTAACATTAAAGTAAGGTTTTAATGGTATTAAAAATATTCTGGAAAATTCACAGCTTGAAATTGAGGAATGCTCAGTGTGGGGAAGGATATTTCTGTATTGTGTTTCCAATAGGATGGCTTGTATAGTTGCAAAAGTTATGTAGAGAAACATATAGGAAATGTATAATTTCCCAGCATTAAACCTAAGGCAGGGTTTTGTCCCAAGAATAAGTCCAATACCAAAACACACGTTGCCTAATACTTATGCCTCTGTAAAGCACAGCTCCTTTCTGCTTTGAAATAATCAGGTTTCTAAAATTCTAACTAGCCAGTGAAAATCTTGTGTCCGACATTCTATAGAACTTGATGGTTCTTTTCAAAAAATGCTAGCTCTCTGTCTGTTAAAATGATGATTGTTAAGGTGTTGAATGTTGCATGTATTGTAACACAATGGCATGATGCTTCATTACTTGTGGGGAAAAAAACTACAGCTAGATTAATTATCTTACCATGTTGTTTGCTTTAACAGAAGGGTTTCATCATGCTTTTCATCATCGCTCTTGTTACAAGCATTGGGAAGGACGCTGTTCTAGATAAGTTGGTTATTACAGTCTAACCAATGTTAGATTTATGGCAATTTCAATACATCCGATCTATTGTTACAGAAGTTGGGAAGGCAATCGAGACGTTATCAAGATTTTTAATATGGGCTTCTACAAGTTGCTGGGAGGGATTTGAGACTTTTTGACGGTTAGCAGTATAACTGTGTACGCTGTTACCAGTCTGTTTTTTTACAGGATGGGCAGCCTAGGTTTATATTTATTTATAACTACAATAACTTCAATAGAACCAATTACGTTATGATTACACTGAACTCTGCCATTCGTTGCCTACTAACTAGAGCTTAGCAAATAATTTATAATGAATTATTTATTCATTATTCAAAATTATTGATGGAATAATTTCTGCAAATAATTCTTGGTCTATAGCTTGATCGTCAGCAATTTCTTGTGATGGTTTGATATCTGAGCTATTTTGATTGGACAGCTAGGTCAGGTGGTAAGCGTCTGTTCCCTGACTGGCTAAGTGTAACACTTAGAATAGGATCTCCAGTGTGAATGCTTGTGAATTTGAAGTTTGCTTTCTGTGAATATTCTGCAGTATAATTACTATTTGTTTTGAAATAGTGCCCAACCAGGGATCCGGGTCCTGTTGTGCTCGGCATTGCACAAACACAAGAAAACATGGGCCCCTGCCCTTGGGAACCAACAGTTGTTTAAAATTCACTCATTTGCAAACTCTCTTGGAAGTGAGCACAATAGTTAAAACATTCACAGAAAGAGATCCCAAGGGGATTATAAACATACATATTGAAACAAATATTCACAGAAAGCTGTTTTTTTCCCCCATTCAGCCCTATCAATAAGCCTACTGAGAGCTTTAGATGTTCATTTGTTTTTAATTTTAATGTAAATAGAGGTCTTTTCAAAAATCATTCTATTCAGCAGTTTACTGGTTGGAAAAAGGCCATCCTATCCAAGCTACCTATCATCTGAACTTTGATTATTTTATGGAGAGAGTAATATAAATGCTAAAATAAAGTCAGGAAGTTAAAACAAACATACACTTATGATATTTTAAATTTTGTGTGTAAAGAGGGGCAAAATAAACTAATATGTATTGCTGTGTAAAAGCAAATAAAGTCTGTTGGAAAATGCCAAATATTTCTGGGCTTCTGCATTTTTAAAATAATATCTCAATTGTCTGTCTTCTTTATAGTTTCAATTGACCTTAGAATACTTTGCAAACTAATTTTCTGGAAAGTTATGTTCTCGTCATTTAAAAGGAAAAAAAAAAAAAGCCAAGCAGAATTCCAGTGGTTATATGTTTATTAAGCCATCCATCCATATATAAAGTTCTATTAGGCTAGCCGATTCTTTGATTTCTAAGGGGTCTCAAGTTTTATTTCTGAGACAGACCTAAACCAGCCCAGCTTGATGGCAACAATGTCATGAAAAAGCTCTGCACTCTGTTCCTGGGTTGTTCAATAATGATTTCTCAAAGCCACGTTAGTTGACCCATTGATCTCTTGATACCGTGCCATAGTGGAGTTGCACTGTGAAAAGTGAAATGATGATATTTTGGCACATCTGCAAAGAGTTTCAAAGTGCTGTGCAAACAGTAGTTAAGCTTCACAAAATCCTGTTTTGAAGTAGGGAAACAGAGGCACAGATAGGTTAAGTGACTTGCCCAGGGTCACATAGGTAGTCTGTGACAGGGCAGGGAATATAGAACCATGATTCCCAATCTTGTGCTTTAAGTGCAAGACCTGCCTTTCTCAGGAAATGGAGGAGAATGAACAACTGGAATCTAGAATACATTAAATAAAACTTTTCTGTATGTTTATTTACAATAGATGAGCAGAAGAGGACCTTGAGCTATATAGAGTTCTTATTCAAAAAAACCCTTTGAGATTAGCTCATCATTGATTATGGTCACTTTTTAAAATGACATTTTAATTTTCTTTAGCCTTTTATTTTTCAGGAAAAATTCTGCCTCTCTCCCAGTTATGGTTGCTTCCTAGCAATCCTTCTCATGGTATCACTTTACGGAAGAAGGCCTGCACCTCCTTCACCACAACCTTGTACCTTTTTATGCCTCTCAGTTCTCCTGACCACATGACCCTCAGTATGAACACTCACCACTGCCCCACAAATATCTCCATTTAATCACTGTGCCTTCAACATCTTATTTGCAGCAGGACATTTCCCTACTAAGTGACTGCTCTCTTCCTCCCAGTAGGGAGGCTCTCAGTATATTGGGCAGCTGTGAAAATTGAACCAGAACCTTCAGGCTTTTCTTTTGGGAATACGAATACCAACATCTAGTTCTTATACAGCACTTTTCATCCATGGATCTCAAAGTGCTTCACAAAGGAGGTGAGCATCATGCTCCCCATTTTCCAGATGGGAAATTGAGGCACAGGGAGGTCACCCAGCAGGCCAATGCCAGAGCCAGGAATAGAATCCAAGTCTCCCAAGTCCCAGTCCAGTTCTCTTATCCACATGGCTATAGCCCAGCATAAGGCTCTAATACAGAGGTGCTCAAACCGGGGGAGGGAGTGCACAGGAAGCTTTAGGGGGGAAAAAACCTTCCTGCGCACATTTTACCCACTGAAATGAATAGCAAAGCTCATTCCTTCAGACATATCAGGTCCTCAGAGGGCACTGTGTATCTTGACGGATTTCTGTTACGCCTGCAAAGCATTATACAAAGTTTTTGCCCTCTGTATGTTAATCCGTTTGCTGCAACACAGTGTGCTCATTTACTTGTAAGCATCAACCACAATTGCAGTTTTGCTTTTGCTCTTATTACAGTGGATCACTGGCTCTTTTTGAATCAATGCCTTAATGGGTTTCATATTTAGTGAGAGTTGCATGTTGATTTTTTTTAAAATCCGTATACGTACTTCTGTGGTGGAGGGAGGGGGTCACGCTGGTAACTACTATAGACACAAAGAAGGGGCATGCAATCAAATAAGTTTGAGTACTACTGTCCTAACGGCTACAGATGCTGCATCTTCCTGCATGCCAGCTAACCACACAGGTCCTGTTTCTATATTGTGACCTAAATTGACTGTTTGGAGTAAACATCTTAATTTTTTTTTCTTTCCAAAGAGCTTTGAGTGTATCTTATTATAATAGGACTTGTTTATTCCTTGCAATGTAGAACTAAAAAGTTAGGAACTCAGATACCACATAACTTGCAGTGATTGGAAAAATATTTTCTGTGTGTAATTTAGATGTACATCTCTTCAAATCTTGAAACAAATATGATCTTGAGAGATGGGGAGGAATACTTCAAAGAGGAACTGCAAAGCTTTTCGAAGCAAATGAAGCAAAACCTCTTCCATATCCAAATCAGTAAAAGATCGTGTCCTCAGATTAGGGAAATGCTCTGCTTTGTGTTACGTCCTATGAAGAGGAGCCACACAAAATTGTTGGCAAGCAAATAAGAACTGATTTCCAGTCTCTTGTAATTTCTGAGTCTATACAGGCCCCTGATTCTGCTACTGATTGGCATATTAAACAGTTTAGTTCTTTTAGTCATAAAAGACTGGACACTGGGGACAGTTGAAGCTTAGGGAATCATCTGCTTGGAGGTGAGTAGTTGAATCTGTGGATGCAGATGAGTTTCCGTAACAGAAGAGAGATGTTAGGCCTGCCAACAAATAAGGAGAGAGAAGATTGAGTGGGGGTCACTGAAGCAATGGCCAACATGGAAGGAGAACCGGGAGCTTCAAAACACTAAAGTAGAAAGGAAGAGAAGTTAATCAGTGATATTAAAGATTACAACTAGATCAAAAAGAGCAAGAGCAGAGACTTGCACCTTAATCTTACCTCTGAAGAAGTTGTTGGTGACCTTCATGAGGGAAGTTTTTGTGGAGTGGAGAAGGGCTGAAGTAGCTCAGGAAGAGATTGGAGGAGAAGAAGCCTAACCAGCAGAGAGTAGATAACATGCACAAGGATTTGCAAGAGAGAGGGGAGAAGAAATATAAGTAGCTGGTAAGGCCTGAGCATTTGAGGGAGGTGTTTTGGGGTTTTTTTTAGGTTGAGAGAAGAGAGAAATGCTTGCTTGTTGGCTGGTGGAAAACAGCCAGCAGGCCAGGAGTGGGAGGATGGGAAGTATGATGAGATGGTTGAGAGATTAAAGGCAGAGAGTTAGAAGAAAGATCTCCACATCAATGTCTGCCATCAAAGAGGGAAAGGAGGAATGGAGAGGAGAAGGAATAAAGTTCTTACAGGACAGTGTTTGACAATATTGATGAAATCCTGGGCAGAGGAAGTGGTTTCATTGAAGAATTGAGGTTTGGAAGTAGCAGAACTAAAACTGGCCTGGGTTCATCCAGACAAATGCTATGAAGATGGCATGCATCTGACTATCATGTTTAGCGAATCCAAGAAAAGAGAGGAGGGTGATGGATTTTGTAAGAATGGAAGAGCTTGTTTATATAAACTGTTATGTATTCATAAAAGGCGGTGTATGGAACAGCCCTAGTGTCTGGGGTTCCCCAGGAGAAGGACAGTACAGGCAGGTAGGAACAGTCATGCAAATGTCCCCCCATCCTTGACTTACAAGGTATTTCTCTGGGGCAAGTGGATTTCCTAGCTTCCATTCTTTCCTTGGCCTTTCTCCTGGGTACTAGTTATTGCTAGCAAATTTTGCAAAATGGACAAGTGTCCCCTAGGAATGCACCTGAAACCACCCGCTCATTTCACACAGCTCTCTGAAGAGCTGTCAGATGGCAATGAAGATCGGTCTCCACTGTCCTGAGCTGAATTTGAACCAGTGTTCTGGATGGCTCCATATTCCGGTGAGCCAGCCAGCCTCCCTAGAAGGGCTTGTTTGTTAAAAACAGAAAAGGATACGGTAAGTTAAACAACTGGTGCTGGAATTAACGATAAAGGTGTAAAGTCTGAATAATGCACACTGAGGAAGTGCTACTGTGTGTGAAAGCTACCCAACCTGTTCAGCTGGTTTCTGGTAGTGAGCTGGATGAGAGCATGCCCAGAAAAATGTGTATCTGCCTTTCCGGAACTGTGACCTGTTTGCACAGCATAGCTCTGCTATCGGTGTGACTTTTTTCTGGTAAGCAGTGGGTGAACATTGTGCATATTTAAAGGTATGACTTAACCGTGTGACCACGCAGCTTTCACTGAGAGGAAAAAGAAGCTACCCCAGAGCATTCTGCATGTGGGAATATCTTTTTTGCCGAGAAAATGGGCCAGAAATTATCACAGGAATATAATGAGAAAAACAAGGCTGACATTCTCATTATAAACGAGGTGTTCAGCCAAGGAGTGGTCCATGCATCTCAAAAGCTGAAAGAATACCTTGGATTTGAAGATCCTCAGAGCCAATTCCGCCCAGCCATGGATACTTTAAATGAGATCTTTTTGGTTAACTTCATCAGTTTCTGTATTGAAAAAGGAGTGGAGGAGCGTATCGCGACCAGCAAGATGACAAAGCAACAGTCTTTGCTGCTTGGGATTGACTGGATCTGGACTTTATCTGGAGCCGACAAACAAATCAATCTTCAGATCGCCGTGCAGTCTTTGCAGATGGCTGAGCTCCTCCACAATGAAACTGGGCCCAGCAAGGAAGCCAAGTTAGCAGACCAGCCTTTCAAAAACCAAAGCAGGTTTGAGAAGCTGGAAGAGTTCTGCACACTGGTGGGACAAGACTGCCTGGGCCTCTTTATAATGTTTGGAGTACCAGGGAAGCCTAAGGATATCAGAGGAGTCCTGCTCGACAGCATCAACAAGGAGAAACGAAAAAATCACCTGTCAGGCGAGAATGCTCTAAAGCAGTTTATCTTGAACACTGACAGCTTCCTCTCCACAAAAGAAATGCTTGAAAACTGCCTCTGTAAGAAAAATGGGCTCAAGGAGGTGGGCAAGGTGTATATTAACTTTCTTTAAACTCCTGGTTTATGGTAAAAGGGCTGTGAACCCAATCACCAAAGAATATCCAGTCCTGGTCTTTCAATCATCAGCATTTCTTTCTCTCTCACACACTATTGAACATATTTACTTAGTCCAGGCAGTTGATTTTTATAGAACCTAAGATGATTAACTCTCTTTCCAGTTTTTAAATCAACACTATATACATTCCAGAAAATGTGTTCATACCGGAGGCTTAATTTTAAGAATATTCTGTTCTTCAGAACTTTAATACTCCACACCCAAACCTGTGAAAGATCTTTTGGAAGAGTTGAGTTCACTACATTTACCTAGAGAGTGTGGGCACTTCTTAAACAGAAAGTTGCTATAAAGACCGTCGTTGGTTTTTTTTTATTTGGAATGAGAGAGAAGGGCAATGATGCCATGATTTTATAATGCTGGGTGTAAAATCTGTTGTTCCATGATTGCAGAGACTAATCCTGCTGTGGCATGGATGTAGACTGAATGATCATAAGAAGCTTTCCTATATGTAACTCTTTTCACTAGTAAATGGTAGTCTGTTAATCATTTATTATTGTATTGCTGTGATGCCTTGACTTTGGAATCATACCTTGCAGAAAACACCTCGTAAGAGACAGAATCCCAGCCCCAAAAACACTAGACGAGGCAGACAAAGCGGGGGAGGTTAGGACTGAAAGTATCACTATTTGGTTAAAGGAAAGTGGTCTTGCAGAGTATTTTAAGACTTAAAATAGGGGGTGAAATCCTGGCTTCACTGAAGTCCATGGCAGTTTTGCCATTGACTTCAATGGCGATAGAACAGTGGTTCTCAAACTTTTGCACTGGTGACCCCTTTCACATAGAAAGCCTCTGAGTGCGACCCCTCCTTTATAAATTAAAAACACTTTGTATATATTTAACACCATTATAAATGCTGGAGGCAAAGCAGGATTTGGGGGTGGAGGCTGACAGCTCGGGACCCCCCCCATGTAAGAACCTTGTGACCCCCTGAGGGGTCCCGACCCCCAGTTTGAGAACCCCTGCGATAGAATTTCACGCTGTCTTGTATTTGAAGTTAAATCCCCCATGTATTACATATGCTCTCCATGTGCTTTTAATTATTCAGAGATTAATTATTCTTTTCAACATTTTAGGACTTAGTCATGCTCCCTTGTCAGCCACATTCTTGATTTCCCACCCTTCTCCCTGCCTAATTTCTAGTTAGCAACATGTGAGTTTCAGGTTGTATAATCCCAAATACTTTTTCAAGGGAAAGCAAGTAGTGATTATGTGTATAAGAGGAATTTACAAATTCACTATGTGGTTACAATGGCTTTGGTTACTTGGTAGTGATACTTTAAACCAGCTTACACCTTTGAAAAGACTTTATGTTCTATACTTGTGAATATTTAACTTTTGGGATATTAAGCTCCTTTTCACAAATCCTTTTCATATTTTTTTCTACTTTAAGTTGTATAGTCAAATTTCTATTTTAATGTAAAAATTGTATTCGACAAAATAAAACACGTAATATTGAGAATCAATTAGCTGTACTGAATTTGCAATCTTTGTGGTTATGAAAATGGAGATATTATGGCCTGATGTAACTCAGGCATACCTCAGCTAAAGTCAGTTGCCTTACACCAGCATAAAAGAGAGCTCAGAATCAAGCCTGGAATTCCTAGCAGATTTCTATGACGCACGGAATTAGGCCCATCGGTGAACTGAAAATACGAGAAGAAAAAACAGTAAGGGCACTGCAATTTGTCTTTAAGTGAGCAGCCAAGATCCACAACAATCAGCTGTCCTATTAGGAGAAGCCTTGCATATGCTAAAACGGTTCTTTGAGATCAGGGTTGTCTAACAGAAGTGGTCCTTAGTGTAGATTTCAGTGTATTTAAGTATTGAGGGGTTCAGTAAGGAGGAGAGGATAAAACTTGGTCTCTTAAAAATAGATACTTTGGGGGTGACTATCCAGCTTTTTGTTTGAACTCGGTAGCACATTCCATTGCCTTCATTATAAAAATCCTTGCAAGAACAAAGTCTTGTGAAAGCCTCAGTTATCCATTAGTTTGGTAACTTATTTATTAATGGAGTTAGTCATGAATATTTTGTCAAAATGGTTTGTTTCAACATAGAATGCTATTTTTGCAACATTGAAATTTTTCAGTAGAAACTTCAGATGTTGCTGACATTTTTTCAGTTTTCCTTTGGAAAAATCAAAGGGAAATGTTTTGCTTTGAGTTGGGTTAACCCGAAGTGGAACATTTCAGTTTAGTTTCCAGGTCAGTCTACTAACCTGTGTCCATCACAGCTGCTGTGGTACCTCATGCCTTAAGCGCCATGTGGAAAAGATGCTAAGTTCACGTATTATTTTTAGGAATGGTATGTCTGACTCAATTTCTCTGCTCCCTTTTGCATTGTTACCCTTCGTTACACTGTATTTTCTTTCCTGGGACAAAGGGTAAGCAATGAACCAAGCAGGCGTTGCATAGGCACGTAGGGGGAGGGAGAAGAATGGTGTATCAAGAACTGCTAAGGTATTAATGGAGTTACCTTAGAACTAAGCTAGAAGACAACTGCCTGGACCAGAGCCACAGGTCCCATGAGAACAATGTGACCAGACCTCTCAACCCCCCAGACGGACATCAATTGATTTGATTGCACATACTGTTTTATTTATTCTTTAAAATGTACAAGCATGCATGAGTTTCCCAATGTGTTGTCATCTACTCAGGGAGCAGCCTGGGCAGCCCCAGAAACGCAAAGAGCAGAAAGAGAATTTCCTGTTTCTATCTCCCTTTCCCCATACTTCCCATTACCCCCACCCCTTCCCTTAACCTTGTTTCTGACTCCTGTTCCCTTCTGTCACTGCCTTTCCTCCCCTCTCTACCCTGTAGGCTAAAATTGGCCCATCCACCACCACCAAAGTTTCTGCCCAGCATGAGCAGGAGGGGCCTCATGCTGTCTTCTCACCTGTTTCCTCTTGAGGGATGACTGCAGGACCCCAGGACATCCTTAACAATGGGAGCCAGATGGGGGGTCTGAACATGACTGAAGTGTGAGACAAAGAAATAAAGGGTGAGGGGACTGCAATGAGATCCTGTTTTACCAGGACAGGTTGAGGGGAAATCCAGGTGCTGCAACCAGGCACATGCAGTTTTGCTTTACCCAAGCTAATGTCCCTCCATTTTATATTCCAATTGACTAATAAAATGGTGTCATTACACTGACAGGCTGTCAACATGTCTGCTGGCTGTAGAGCTCCCATGAGGGTAAGCAGGCATCCAGCTCCTTTGGAGCTTGTGAGAAACACAGGTGCTGAAGCCAGGGACCCAGTCTGAGTAGCAGAGCCCCAGGGCCACCATGTGCCAAAAAGGCCAAGCAGTAAGAAAGGTAGACACCTGTAAAGGTAGGAGGCATATCAAGCTGTGTGCATCTGTCATGTGACATGCCATTCTCCTCTGTGGGCTTTTTGGAACTTTTCATTCCACAACACATGTTGATATTTCCACTTTTGTTCTGACTGGTGCTAAATCAGATTTTTGATCAACTCTACTTACTGTTAGACCTATCCTCAGACTGATGTGGTGTTTGCAGGCACATGTTCAGAGAGTGAAAACCTAAACTTCAGTTTTCCCTGAAGTGAGTTTCTTGTACCTTTAATTTAAATGTGCAGCTGGCTTTAACTTGACAGTTAGGCAATACAGTTTGTGTCATAAATACAAGTAGTATTGGCCCTAGCCTCACTGTGCATTAGCCAATAGTGTAAAAAAGCACCATTTTGCAAAGTAAAACCTATTTTTTTTTACTTTAGACAAATGGGGCTAGATCTTTGGTTGGTATATAGCAACAGAGTTTTCTATGGATTGACACTCATTTATCCCATGTAAGCATGCTGGGAAATATTTTATAAAGCAAAGCAGTTTCCTAATAAGACCTCACTATAGTATTTGTTAATTAACTTTGCCAAGAAGTGTGGTGACACAGCAAGGTATTTGGTAAGACTGGATTTGATTTCCACCAACGTGTGAGGTTTTAAGCAGTGAGTCTCCTCTAGTCCTTCAATGTGAAAACCTTTTTTAAAAGTAAGAAATGTAATTGAGTCATTTAACATTGCATGTGCACATGACTGACTGTCACAATTGCATTTACTAGTATTCTTTAATTGCATAGGGAGCTGTACATTATTCTTAGGCCCTAGTACAGGTTTTTAATTATTTTTTTACTCTGTAATAAACCCTTCTTACTGTTACCCATTGGTGGCTGAATGATGGGTGATGCTACAAGTTAACCTAATCTACTCAAACATGCAGTGAGTCAGGTGAGGAATCTGGGCTAGTATATAGTTTTATGGCATTTACAGCTTTTGTGTTTAGCTGTAATACACTAGTGAGCAGAGGGAGGAAATGGACTCAAAGGATCTCTGAGTAGACCGGAAAAAAACCCCACATTAGGGGCAGTATGTGTGGGATTGGGGTGGTGAGAGCTAATCTATTCTGGACACCATGGCAAGGGCAAACATTCCACAGCAATGTTTCCTACTAGAACATGGAGCTTTCTGCAGGCATGGAGTGTGTTAGAGGTGGGACCCTTCCTCCCATCCCAGCTTAGACAGTCACCTTGAAAAAACAAGAGACAATTTCTTCACCACTTGTAAGCAGAACCATGTCTTAGAGGTGCTCTAGGTGTGTCTGCATTTCTGCACTGCTCATAGGAGAACCACTGTCCACTGGGCCCACACATGCACTGTCTCACCTGGGCTAACCTCTCCTCAGTTCCTTCTCTACAGCAGAGTCATAGCAAGAACCCAGAAGTAGAGGGGAGGAGGGCAAGTAGTAAAGCATGCCTAGGGGGACATTTTAAAGAACTGTTGTTACTGCACAAGGTGAGTCACTATTTTTCCAACAGATCTCAGCTTAAGTATGGGGAAACTACTATTGAAAAACTATGATACCATGACGACACATTTAAGGCAGGTATGGAAAAAATGTAACCATTAGCAGATTCTCTTTCCAAAAAAAGGAATGGGCCTCTGCCACCAAAGGTGATGTACTAAAACCCTAATGGCAGGAAATACAAGAGGGTTTTGAGTACAGACTGAATTTATTCTTCCCTGAATCTAGTTAAGGAAACAGATTTTTTTAAAAAATCTGCAAAAAGAAAAGGAGTACTTGTGGCACCTTAGAGACTAACCAATTTATTTGAGCATGAGCTTTCGTGAGCTACAGCTCACTTCATCAGATCTGATGAAGTGAGCTGTAGCTCACGAAAGCTCATGCTCAAATAAATTGGTTAGTCTCTAAGGTGCCACAAGTACTCCTTTTCTTTTAGCTAATACAGACTAACACAGCTGTTCCTCTGAAACCTGTCATTAAAAAATCTGCTTGTTTTTTAATTAGTCCTTTTCCCACCCATGGTAGGATTTTATTAAGAGGCAGCAAGTTCTTTATCTGTATACCTGCACAAGTGGCTTTGCAAAGTTAACACTTACATGAAATGACAATCAGCAAAATATTTTATTTCTTGCACAAACATTTTGAAAAAGCCAGTAAGTGAATATGCATGATAATACAAAACAGCTTGTAATTAACCAGCTATAGAGTTGATCAAAAGTCTTAATACAAGAAAAAAATCTTTGGGTGTGTTTGTCCCCTACAGATACAAGCAACACCAATGCTTCACTTTAAACTTGAACATATTGCCTGCTACAAAGACAGATTTAAATTAGTAGCAGGAACACCTCAGTTGTACTGTTCTACCAAAGCCCAAGTTTCAGACTGTAAGAAGCACACATTGATAAGATCTCCCAGAATACATTTAACCTCATTTAGTAGCCTTGCTGCAAAAGGAACCTAGAGTGAATAATAGTATCTTTTCCACCTGTTAAGTGCAAAATACCAGGCTCTACATAGGCACAAGAGAAGGTCCTGCAAATTACTATAACCTCATAGTAATATGTATCTTTGTATCAACATTACTTACTCTTTCAGCCAACAGTTTTAGCAACTCGAACAAGATTTTATAGTTTGACAGCTTACAGGTAGGATTGCTGCTGGGAAGTAGAAAATTCTGTATGGAAACATCCATAGATGAGGTACAAGCTGTTTAAGACCCAACTGCAATCAGTCCAGCACTTTTGGATTTGGCTAGACAGATGAAGCTGCTGTCAAACAAATTCAATTCTACACATCCTTTTTGGACAAAATTCTCAATGGAGTTTTGCTTGAGCACTGCATGCAGGGTAGATGACCCTGCTCCCCTTAGTAATTTATCACAGAAAGACTAAATTGAGTAGTTTTTGCTAATAGGATTTTAGTACACCTAGAGATCTGCAAGTGAAATCCTAGCATGAACAGTTCTGAAGAGTCATCAAATCTACAGTTTTCTACAGAGGGAACACACCCCACTAGTCTAGCACCTTCAGCTCTTTAAAAATAACTGCTTCAACATTCAAAAGCCCCTGCCTTCAAGAATTAATCTCAGGTTCTTGGGAGGGGAATGGCTAGTAAAGGTGATCAGCTGGAAAAGATTTGCTTTAAGCAAGGTCAGTCCAAAATACAACTGGAAATTATGTTCCTGGTATGTGTATTTATGTTGAAGTGACATCTTACACCATATCTCTCATAACCAGTAAACCACCAGATTTCAATGAAAGGCCATCCTGAACCTTTCACCTTTGCCAGGTGACGGTGTAAGAGACAGCCATTGTTGATATGCCTGCTGTAAAAGCTTTGTGATTAGTAAGTTCAATAAAGGTGTACTTCCTATACATGGCCATAGTTCATACCAAGAATAATATCCAATATACACAGTGTTGGGAAGTAACTAGTTAGCACTGGGATTACAGTGTAAGTAATGTAACAGTCCTCTTCATTCCCCTAAAAATTACGCTTTGGTGCTGAAAATTGACACTAAATTGTAGTCAATAATCAGTCTTTCTGAAGAATGTGCTAAGGAAAGCACAGCCAAGCATCATATATCACTACGTACCTGCAACCTGGTTAAATTATTTGTTTTTAGTGTTGTGCCAAATTTTGAACTGCATTAAGAAATCTAAGTGATTATAATCTAAAATGTAGCTTCCCAGCATTGTACACCAGCCACCTGTGTGTACTTTGTGTTGTTCCCTGTTAACTAGATGCTTTTCCTTACATCAGCTTCCTTTCTGCACTACAGCACAGCTAAATCTTCTTTAGTAGGAGAATCTCATGTCCTTGGTGTATCCCAGTTTTTCCAGGTTGGGTAAGCAAGCATACTGGATCATTGGAGGAGGACCACACATGAGGATCAGAACGTCATCTTGAGGAGGGGGCATGTGTTCTCTGAGCATGTCTTCACTCACAAATCCCTGGCTATAATCCCAATCTGAATGGAGAGGGCAGAGGGGAAAAAGGTATTTTATTAACAGGCTTTATAACAACACACACCCTTATTTATTATGGGCCAGCCAAGAACAGAGCTCCACTGTGCAGCCGATCAGCTGACAGCCCTTGCTACAGAGCAGGAGAGATAAAAGCGGAGCTGCAGTGCGCTCTCTGCTCCAGAGACCTTGGGGAAGGGGGTGGAATCAGGGCATATCCCCTCCAGGCCCCTGCCATGAGCCACCCAGGACAGGGGGCTGGGAGCACCCCCACCACCCCAGCCCTGACCCCTGTACCCACCACAACCCCAGCCTGACTCCAGTACCACCCACACATCCCCACTCCCACCCTGAGCACCAAACAGGAGCTGCCCAGGTAAGCGCTCCAAACCCAAACCTCCTGGCCAGACCCTGCACCCCAATCCCCAGCCTGCTCCTTCACCCCCAGCCCTGTTCTCAGCACACTCCCACCCTCATCTCAGTGCAGAGAGAGGAAGAGAATGCCTAGCACCAGAGAGAAGGTAGGTACCTACTCTATATGGACAGGGCCAGGACTCCAGACCGGCAGCACGCTGAGCCGACCCTGGCTGGCAGGAGCCAGCGGACAGAGCAGCAGGCGGCTGAGCTGCTCAGCTCACTGCCAGTCTGGAGTCCCAGCCACTGGCTCCGCTCAGCCCACTGCCAACCTTGGTGAACGGAACCCTAGGCCAGCAGTGTAAGATCAGCATTTTAAATGAAGCTTCTTAAACATTTTGAAAACCTTGTTTACAAAATGACAATAGTTTAATTATATAATATATAGACTGAGCAAGACCTTCTAAAAAAACATTAAAATGTATTATTGGCACACAAAACCTTAAAGTGAATAAATGAAGACTCAGCACACCACTTCTAAAAGGTTGCCAACCCTTGGTTTAGTACCAGATGACCTTCCTTCTTAATCCATTGTTTAAGAAAATAAAATAAGTATTTAAGGTGTTATCCCTTTTATAGATTCAGGGTTCCCCAACTTGCTGCTGGTACTGAACACACAAAACTGCTGACCCCAAAAAGGGGAATGAGATTGCCTCTGTTCTCCCATATTAGCCAACACATTTAATCCTCAATTCTTGTGTCAGTAATGCTCTCTCTCTTTCTTCAGAATATATTGAAACTGGTATCAGGGGGGACTTGTTCAGCTTTGCCTCTCTGAGTTCACGTTTGCTACCAAAGTCAAAGATGAGGACTATGCACTAGCATTCTCCTGACCAGTTTCATAGCTTCAGAGGCACTAGCTACCAACCTTTTCCTCCTGTCAGCTCTGAAGGCATCTAGTTGCCTTAACAGGGGATGAAAAAGTTAGAGGATTCTAGAATTGTAATCAGCCCTAATAATCTGGTGCATTGACAGGAGTGGCATGTTAGATCTTACTCTCAGGTGCTCTGTCCAACGTGTACCAAAGCTTAAAGCGGTCTGGATGCTGAACCTGAACTTCCTCCAGTTCTGATCGTAACAGGATATCTTTCTCAGTCTGCAGGGAAAGGAAAGGAGTTATACTTTCAATAGAGTCCTTCATCCAGTCTCTTAACTGTAACAGATTAAGCCTCACAGAACTCCTGTGCAGTAGCTATTATCTGAATATTAGAGAGAGTTTGAAACATGTATAAGTGAACTCAATAAGATAGTGACAGAGTCAGAAACAGATCCCAAATTTCCCAGCTTCTTGATCTTTGATGACCACGTCTTGCCTCATGGAAAGGGATAAAAATATGTTTAGATTTTTTTTTTTAATAAAACAAAACCACCCCACCACCACATGGTTATTAGATGCAGCATCACAAAACTGAAATGCTGTATTAGCAGTCTTCAGTATCAATTCAGCTTTCATAAAACTTGGGAAATTAAATATTACTGCACAATATCACTATAGTATAAATAATGCTAGGAGACTCAGAGTAGTTTTTCCATCTCCTTTTCAGCCTCACATTATGAAGTGGTGCTAGTCCCTTCATATTCTCCCCAGCCACACAGCAATTTGGCACCAATGAAAGCAAAATATTTGGGACTATGGAGGGAGTTTATCAGCACCTGTTGCTGAGAAGGCACCTATTTCTGGATCTAATGTGAAACTGCATCTGTTACAAGAAAGCTATTTCTGGATCTGACTAAATCAAAGCAGGCATGTGAACCGGACAATAGAAGACATTTTCAATGATCTAGAAGGGAGCTAACAGCATGCTGTGAGATTAGCAGTAAGTATTAAATATAAATGTGTAGAGCACCCATGAGGACATAGAATCTCATTTTATTTCCTTCCCATATTCGTAAACACTGTAGACCCTCTTGTATTATTTCCACCTGGGATAATACAAGATATATACACAATCCTAAACACAGATTAATTGGGAGGGAGAAATCTGGAAAGCAGCAAAAAATAAGGACATTTTATGGGTGACAGCAGCAGACAGGAGCTAGAAGTTTGCAATGTGATTTTTGGTTGTGCAAACTCCATGTCTCAGAACAGGGAGACAGCAGGCCCTCTGTACAAAGTTTTATTAAGACCGTACCTGGAATATGCCAACAGGCTGGAGAGAGTTAAAAGAAGAGCAACAAAAGTGATTAAAAGGTGTGAAGGGCTGAGTACAGGGGTAGAGGGGGGAAAAAACCCAGTTATGGAAGTACTTAGTGTATGAACTATCCTTAGAATGAGACATTTTATACTTTAATTGGCTAAATAATGACCAGGAAAGGACGTTTTTTTAAGTATGTAAAAACCAAGAATGGAGAGGCATTTGGAGTGGTAAAATATTGAGACGAAACGCAAGAGGAAAAATTTAGGCTTAACATCAGGAAATACTTCCAAACAGTAAGGTGCATTAGTCTATGGAACACGCTTCCAAGGGAAATGGGACATCACTTGGCACATTCAAGTCTGGGCTAGACATAATTCTGATAAACGTAAAATAAGGTCAATCCTATATAGGCAGAGAAGAACTAGATGACCCAACAGGTCTTTTCCATCACCAACTTCTACTATTATCATTTCTACAACATTATCTATGATTAAAATAGCTTCAGTGGACACAAGATAAAAGTTAATGCACTGAGGATAATCAGTAGCATCATATACTGTCAACCCACACATCTGCTTTCATTTGGGTTAGTGTAACTTGATACAATGTACTTAGATACTTGTGCCCAGATTTTCAGAAGTGCTCAGCATCTACCAAGTCCTTCTGAAAACAACAGGAGTTGAGCCCTTTAAAAAAAAATCTGGTTACTTTATTTAGGTGCCTATAATATGACCTTTTGAGAATCTTGCCCTTCATACATTTTGGTATGCGTGGCAGAATGTTATCTGGGTAAGAGTGGCTCGTGTGGTTTAAGAGACAAGTTGTTCAGTACCAATGGAGCATGTTTGCTACACCATTTAATTAGGGATATTTGATTACTAGAACCAAATGGGACTAAGACTTCCTATAAACTTACATCCATACCCCTCAGATGGTAGACAGAGATTTGTATCCAAATTAAGCCATCATGTAGCAGCCATAAGCATCTTTTAAATGCCTAATGCTTAGCACAGCTAGATCATGAAATTCGTAAACAAGAATTTCCTGTTTTAAAATTGAGAATATCATTTACCAGTTCTATGACAATCATATTAAGATTCACTGTATCGACCCTTCATTGGAGTTTTGTAAAGAAAGAGACAACATGTAGTGGCATAACACAATGCAACCTTTCAGAGAAGTTGAAATCTGAAAACGGGGCCTGAGTAGACTATGACCCCCAACAGATCAGAAAATATCTTTTTGTGGTGCTGGTTCTACAACAAGTAAGCTGCTATTTCTAATTGCATGGCACTCTCTCCCCCATTTTGCAGTTCTCACCTGTTGGGGACGATTAAGTTTAGGTCACATGCTGCAACTGTGCTCAGAAATAGTCAGATTCATACTTCCCTATGCAAACCTGGTTCCGTGCCCTGCAGGTGGGGGGTATTAATCTTAAAGGAGAGCAAATGATGCTGCTGCTAGATGGGGCAGCTTTAAAATTCTGACAAGGGCTTCTCCCCCCCCCCCCCCCAAAAAAAAAAAAAAAAAAACATGCTGGCAGTCAGTTTGGATGAGCTATTGCCAGCAGGAGAGTGAGTTTGTGGGGGTGGGGGAGTGAGAAAACCTGGATTTGTGCTGGAAATGGCCCACCTTGATTATCATGCACATTGTAGGGAGAGTGGTCACTTTGGATAAGCTGTTACCAGCAGGAGAGTGAGTTTGTGTGTGTGGTTTTTGGAGGGGGGGGGGGGGGGGTGAGAAAACCTGGATTTGTGCTGGAAATGGCCCAACTTGATGATCACTTTAGATAAGCTATTACCAGCAGGACAGTGGGATGGGAGGAGGTACTGTTTCATGGTCTCTGTGTATATAATGTCTTCTGCAGTTTCCACAGTATGCATCCGATGAAGTGAGCTGTAGCTCACGAAAGCTCATGCTCAAATAAATTGGTTAGTCTCTAAGGTGCCACAAGTCCTCCTTTTCTTTTTGCGAATACAGACTAACACAGCTATTACTCTGAAACCATTCAGAAGAAAGAATCCCTGTCTCAAAACACTTACAGTCTGGATAAGGAACATAACAAGAGGACATAGGAAAAAAAAGAGGGGTAGATGTCAGGGCAAAAGTTACTAGGCAGTAATGTAGAGAACCGTGTGCTCATTGCAATGGCCTCACATGTGCCTGTTTTTATAGTTTGTTCATTTTTAGCTTAGGGTTTTATGATACTGAATTGTATCTATGTTCTGTGCTGTCTCAGCAGAGGTTTGCATATACCTGGGTTTTGTTTTTTTAAACTTAAGGACAATTTTAATGTCTTGCCACAACAAGAAAAGAAGAGTTACCTGATTAGCAAACAGCAGCTGACAAATGGTGGGATCATCTTTGTCCTTCATGATGGCACGAATGAGCTGCAGCATAGGAGTTATGCCTGAAAAAGAACTGCAGTTAAAACTGGCCACGAGCAATACATCTAATAGCCTTGCAGAAACAAGGTGCACAAAGAATGAAACTTCATTCTTGCATACCAGTTCCACCTGCAATCATCCCAACATATTTCACTGTTTTAAGAACAGGTTCAGATTTCTTCTCAGCGCGAATAGCAAACGTGCCTGGAAAAAAGGAGGAAAGGACAAATATTAGGGAGTACTCGCAAACACTAATTTGAACAGAGGACTGGTATCACAAATCCTGAGTTCTAATTCTGATTTATAGTGACTGCCCAGGGTCTGAGACAATCACCTCTCCACTCATTTTCCCATCTGTAAAATGGCAATGTGTCACCTTTTCCTTATAAGGCTATCGTGAGGACAAACAGATATATTTTAAAAGTGCTAACTATTTTAAAAGACGTTGAAAATGAACGCTGCTAGTGTATTATAATTAGACAGGATTTTTGACTCATTTCTCAACATCAAGCTATTATGATTTGCATTTCAGTAATGTCTAGTGGCCCTGAACAAGGAGCAGGAGTCAGGTCTGACAAGGACCATCCTCCACCCCCAACAAGATCAACCTGCCCTCAAGAGCTCACAATCCATTCTCTGTATGTAACAACTATTTCCAGAAGACATCTCAATTGGGTGAGGAAGAAACTTGGCTAAAATTAAGTATCTAAACACTATAATACAAACCCAGTCCATCAGCAATTATTACACAAAGACCACGCCAGTGGATGGTGTTGAATAAGGTCACGACCAGGTTTTAAAAGAGCCCACTCATAGGTCTCTATGGGCTTCTCTTCACCGTGTTGTGGTGTTTTTGTTTTTTTTTAAAACCTGGAGTTAATTGATTCCCAATTAACTTGAGGTACTTTCTAATGGCTAGTGTGGACACACCACACAGATTTGACAGAGGCCACAAACATTTCTGCTTTATCCTAGGAATCAGCCCCAGCTTGGGATAAAGCCCATTTCTTAATCATGACATTACATGTTCCTGCCTCATTCACAGAGGCCTGGCCAAAATAACCAAGTTTAACCATTGTTAACTGTCATGCAGATGGAATCCTAACGCAGCTACTGGCTCTTCTGCTAGGAATTGAGAGTAGGATTCTGTCAAGCCTTGTCTACACACAGTTTTTGTATCAGTATAACCATGTCAGTTAGGTGTGCTTTCTTTGCAAATATAGTACAATCCTTGCTCTGGGCACAGTTACAGTATGTAAAAGTTGCTTTATCCTGGTGTAGCATATACCAGGCTTACACAAGAAACTTCTGCCAGTATAGCAATGCTGGTTAGGGGTGTGATTTTGGGGCAACATTTCTATGCCAGCAAAAGCCTTAGTGAAACACAGTCATAGTGCCATAAATGTACTTTTGCTGCTATTGTTTATTTCACTTAGGGAACATATATACAGTTCTACCAGCAAAAGCACTCTTGGGAATAGAGCTCTGTCTGTACTACCAGCAAACCTTTGTAATGTAGAGAAGACCTTATTCCCCGTCCTATATAAGTAAGTTTACAACAACAGTATAGCTGCAGGCACTCTAGAGCAGCTGTACTTCTCTAAGTAACCCAATACAGTTAAAGTGGTTCAACTTGTGTGTAGGAAAGGCCAGAACCTCTTTGGATTGGGGGGGGGTCAGCGATCACTACTCCTACATTACAGTGCATCACAATTATATAAGATTTTCGGTGCTTGTTATTCTGGACACAATATTTCCAAAATCAGTCTTGCCTCTTCCCTTGTAGACAAGTAATCCACTGGGACCTCTGAAGTCAATGGTATCCCCTAATTTCAGGCTGTCTAAATTCTGAGACATCTTTCCTCCATCAGGGAACTTTGGATGGACCCCTTTAAAATAAATCTGTTAAAAATAAAGATTAAAAGGAACTGTAAAGACCTCAAACTAAAGACAAGTTTTTGCCTTAATTTTCTGTAATACACAAATTCATATGCCCAAACTCAAGCAATGAGACATGGTTCTCAGACATGCTAAAACAGAGATCTGAGAATCCAAAACAGAGACAGTTCTATTTTAAAGCCAATTGAAGAGGTGAAAATTGTCCTAGGGCAGCTTTGTTATACAGGGATAGCCTCAAGACTTGTTAACCTTGGGCCCAATTCTGAGATACCAAGAGCCTGCAGCTTCCAAGTGAAGGCAATGAGAGTAGTGGGTGTTAAGTACTTCAAGATCAGACCCCCTACCAGTAAAGCTATGGGCTTGTCTACATAGGAAAGATATATCTGTATTTACAAGTATAAGGTAAGGTGTGAATTTAAACAAATATAGTTGTACTGGTGTCATTCCCCTCCCCCACCACACACATTCCTATATAAGAGGACCAGTTAGCAATTATCTTTAAGAACTCACTGAGGCAAGGGGAGGTCCCCGAGGACTGAAGGGCAAATGTATTACGTATTTAAAATAAGGGGAACAAAGAGGACCCGAGAAATTATAGACTACTTGGGATTGGTCCTGCTTTGAGCAGGGGGTTGGACTAGATGACCTCCTGAGGTCCCTTCCAACCCTGAGATTCTATGATTCTACAACTAGTCAGCCTAACTTCAATACCTGTCAAGATACTGACACAAATTATTAAAGAATGAATTTGTAAGCACCCAAATGATAGTGTTATAAGAAAGAGTCAATAGGGATTAGTCAACAACAAATCAAGCCATGCCAAGTCGTCTTTGGCAAGGTTACTGGCCCAGTGGATAGTAGGGAAGCTGTAGCTCTTGTTTTTACTCAGGCTTTTGACACAGTCCCAGATGACATTCTCATAAGCAAACTAGGGAAATGTGGCCCAGATGAAATTAATAAGGTGGGTGCATAAATAGTTCGAAGTAGTTATCAATGGTTCACTATCAAATTGGGAGGGAGTATCTAGTGGGGACCCACAGGTGTCAGTCCTAGATCTGGTACTAGTCAATATTTTCATTAATTACTTGGATTATGGAGTGGAGAGTAGGCTTATAAACTCTGCAAATGACCCCAAGCTGGGAGGAGTTGCAAACATTTTGGAGGACAGGATTAGAATTCAAAATGATCTTGACAAATTGGAGAATTGGTCTGAAATCAACAAGATGAAATTAAATAAAGACAAGTGCAAAGTACTTCACTTATAAAGGAATAAATCAAATGCACAACTTCAAAATGGGGAATAACTGACTAGCTGGTAGTGCTGCTGAAAAGGATCTGGGGTTTATAGTGGATCATAAATTGAATGAGTCAACAATGTAATACAGTTATGGAAAAGGCTAATATTATGGGCTATACTAACAGGGGTGTTAGATGGAAGACATGGAAGTAATTGTCCCACTCTACTTAACACTGTTGAGGCCTCAGCTGGAACATTGCATCCAATTCTGTGTGCCACACTTTAGGAAAGATGTAGACGAACTGGAGAGAGTCCAAAGGATTCCAGAGCAACAAAAATGATAAAAGATTTAGAAAACCTAACCTATGAGGAAAGGTTAGAAAAAACTGGGCATATTTAAACTTGAGAAAAGATGACGGAGGAAGGACCTGGTAACAGTCTTGAAATATATTAAGGGCTGTTATAAAGAGGACTATGATCAATTGTTCTCCATGTCCAGTGAAGGTAGGACAAGAAGTAACGGGCTTCATCTGAAGCAAGGGAGATGTAGGTAAACTATTAGGGAAAACACTAACTATAAGGATAGTTAAGCTGTGCGATAGGGTTCCAAAGGAGGTTGTAGAATTCCCATCATTGGAGGTTTTTAAGAACAGGTTGAACAAACATCTGTCAAGGACTGTCTAGATCAGTGGTTCTCAACCAGGGGTAAACATACTCCTGGGGGTATGCAGAGGTCTTCCAGGGGGTACATCAACTCATCTAGGTATTTGCCTAGTTTTATAACAGGCTACATAAAAAGTACTAGCAAAGTCAGTACAAACTAAAATGTCAGACAATGACTTGTTTATACTCCTCTATATACACTATACACTGAAATGTAAGTATAATATTTGTATTCCAGTTGATTTATAATTATATGGTAAAAAAATGAGAAAGTCAGCAATTTTTCAGTAATAAAAATACAAAAGTGTCACAGCACACTATGTTTGATTTTGTAAGTAAGTAGTTTTTAAGTGATGTGAAACTTGGGGGTATGTAAGACAAATCAGACTCCTGAAAGGGGTACAGCAGTCTGGAAAGGTTGAGAGCTACTGGTCTAGATTTCCTTGGTCCTGTCTCAGCACAAGGGGCTGGACTTGACTTCTTGAGGCCCCTTCCAGCCCTACATTTCTATGGTTCACTTTATAAAGCGTGTCACCGTGTGAGAAAGAAACACATAATAGGAAACAAAACTCTGAAGAGAGCCTGCAAAGTAATGTAGTAATTTAATACAAAATTCTATCAGCTTTAGAAATATTTGCTGAATACCTCAACGTGGCTATTGAGAGGGGAAATTCAGAACATTAGATGATCCAAACTTACCATCTCGCCAAACAGAGCACCCACAATGTTATGGATCAGTGATATCTATGCCTACCAGCTCCCACATTTAATAATGCTCCTGCGTACATCATGCTGACCACATCACCCATGGAACAAGCACACAGGAGTTCAGGCAAGGTTGGTTGCTTCTTAAAAAATATTGAGAGTTTTGTGAACTTCTACAAATTTGATTCCCTTTGCTACAGAAATGTTGGAAATCTGCACTCTCTGTGTACCTATATCTTCAAACCCCTGTCTCATCATATATAGACAAAAAAAATCACAGGACACTATATGGATTAAATCTATATTGATTTGCATGCTGAGGTACCACTGAGTGGAAGCCAACAAGCCATAGTAGAGTTAGACATCATGGAATCACACAAAAGTATTTTTACAACACCATGCTCTTTACTGTAACCTTTAACGGCTTATAAATAGGCAAGTATTGTATGGCACAATGATATCCTTACCTTGATAACAAGATCCACATAGCCTTTGTCGTCATCGCTGGAGACTGGTGTGTAGGGTCTGACAACCAGATTTCCATTAATCCGTGCAGAAAGATAAATATGCTGTCCTACAAGCAGCAGGAGGGAAGAACAGGTTTATTTTTGAGGGGCTATTCTGAGCCAATTCTCTTCCACTGTAGCTGACAATGACTTGGTGGAAAAGCCAGATTGGGTCTTAAGGTTCTCTTTACCCCTTTGGTCCAGAAGCAATAATTTTTCCCTTGCTCGCCTGTATTTCCATACTACCTTGCTAGATTTCTTCCTCCAGTCTGCATGAAATCCAGCTGAATGGGCACAGTCTTCAGCTACCCCAGCCTTAGAGAGCAGTTCTCCAACCCGGAGCTCAACCATGTTTGTTATTTACTGTAGCAGCCATAAGCATAAGTTTAGATATTATATATTACACACATACACAGATGTAAAAAAGGATGTTCAAGGATGACTCGCACATTCAAGTGTTATTAGCACCTCATTAACACACGTCACTTACACATAACTGAACATAAGGCATACTATAAAGGTGTCCTAGGAACTCCATATTTAAGGCTGCATTTTGATGTGCATTTAGAGCATGAGTTTTTTTTATTTCATTTTACTTTGCAACTGGAATGAATCAGATGATGTCACAGGAGAGGACACAACAACATCAATAGCATTTAAAATGTTTTTTCAAGTAGTTCTTGTAGCCCATACGGCCTCATAGGTCTGTGACAGGTATAATTAACAAAGCTTTCATTCATGATGATAAAACCAGGCTGCCAATATAAAACATACCAACAGGGAGACCTAGAATGTGCTCTCGAGTTGGAAGGGCAAAGCGAAATCTTCTCGTGTCATGGCTAATTTCCTGAAATGGGAAAAAAACAAAACCATCACACACACTGTTGGAAATACTTTGTATTTTGTTAGCCGTTTTTGTTTTGTTTTTAACAGATACGTCAGTCAGGCTGTTTCTAAAACTTTGTTTCACCCTAATCCACAGATATGTAACTGAAACTGTTTCAGCACTCTGTATATGCTATAAAATAGGAAATCAATTTAGCACTGTTTCACTGCTGTATCAAAAGTATACTTTCCACTCAAATTCCTTGAAAGCCTGTCTCTTTTCAAGAAATAAGAAAAAACATTGATATTTCAGTTTGTGAGGTCAAAAAACAACAATAAATACCTAATACAAATGCAAAAAAAAGGAGGGGGGAGAGAAACTACAGGAAAAAATATTTCAGATTTAACAAAGATCAATAAAAACTACTTATTTGCAATTTAGTATAGGCAATAACTTTATAATGCTCTGCACTTGTACAGAACACGATCCAAAGATCTCAATGAGGATCTAATCAGTTCTTCATTTGTAGTTTAAATTTAGATAAAAGACAAAAAGGAGGAAGTTCAATGGCAGAAGTTTCAGAAACAGTTCTCCAACAAAAGACTTATTTTTGGCTAAGTTGTAAATCAGATGAATTAGTTATTCTAATTTAGTTTTGGAGCAGAATACTGGAAAGGACACTGGTGGGTATAAGAGGGGATTAACAACTATCAAGTTGGTCTCCTTTGTTACATTAGTGCTTTAACATGTTTATATAAAGTTTCCTTAATTATAATGGGAAAGAACACACACTGCAGATTAGAGCCCTGCTATAAAACTTGGGACCTTATTAATGATTTCAAAATTATTTATCCCCAAATAAATCAAAGCGATTTATTTCTCAAAGGTTATGATCATAACTCTTTAAACAGTATAAGTCATGATCATTGGACCAAAGTGACACTTCAGTTTAGATAAAAATATTAAGTGATATGTAATGTATTTGGATGGGGAGAATGAACAAGCACTAATGAGACATTGTTTCATTTTCCCCTTCCCACTCCACCTTGTATGCTTTTGGTTTCATTACAGCATACTTAGGGTCTGAACTCTAGTGCTATTTATTACTTTGCAGTCCTTAGATTGGGGAGGGCAAACTACAGCCCACCTCCTGCTGGGGAGCGGGGTCTGGGGCTTGCCACGCTCCAGCCAGGGACCAGGATTGGGGGCTGCTCCACGCAGCTCCCGGAAGTGGCAGCATGGCCCCCCTCCGGCTCCTATGCCTTCCAATGGCCCCCTCCAGCACTCCAATGGGAGCTGCCATGCAGAGCAGCCTGGCTGCACCTCCACATAAGAGCCGAAGAAGGGACATGCTGCTGTTTCTGGGAGACGCTTGAGGTAATACAGCCTGCACCTCTGAGCCATGCCCCAAGCCCTTCCCCTAGGCCTGCTCCCCCTCCTGCCCGGGATCCCAGCCAAGAGCACCCTCCCGCACCTCAAACCCCTCATCCCCAGCCCCACCCCAGAGCCATCACCCCACTCTCCCACCCAGAGCCCTCTCCCGCACCCTGAAGGCCTCATTTCTGGCCCCACCCTGGAGCCCACACCCCAACCCCAATTTTGTGAGCATTCATGGCCCGCCATACAATTTCTATTTCCAGATGTGGCCCTCGGGCCAAAAGTTTGCCCACCTTTGCCTTAGATAAATACTTAGCACTTCTGCAGAGTTTTCATATGTAATGCTTTACAGAGGTGGGTGGGCATCATTTCCCCCCATTTATAGATGAGGAAATTGAATCACAGAGCTGTTAAGCGACTTGCCCAGGGCACACAGCAAGACAGTGAGAGCAGAAAAGAGAACCCAGGTCTCTCAGTCCAATGCCTCATCCATTGTACCATATTGCATCTTCTTATAAAAGATCCCTATAAAATGTAATAGAACATCCCTTATATACAATGGTTAAATACCCATAGAAGTGATATCTATTAAATTAGATATGATTGTAGAATAGTTGCTACAAATAGGTTTTGTTCCTATTAAACTCTATTGGACTTTTCCCTAAAGGTTCACTTCAAATCAATTGGACTCCCGCTTTTACTATGGATTTTAGAATCAGACTCTTAGGCTATGTCTACACTTCAGACCTTACAGCAGTACAACAATACCATCGCAGTTACAACGCTGTAAGGTCTCTCGTGTAGCTGCTCTACTCCGACAGGACAGAGCTCTCCTGTCAGCATAATTAAACCACTCCCAACCAGCAGCGGAAGCTATGTCTGCAGGAGAGCATCTCCTGCCAGCGTAGTGCTGTCCACACCAGCACTTTTGTTGATGAAATTTATGTCAGACGGGTGTTTTTTCACACCTGACTGACAAAAGTGCTAATGCAGACATAGCCTATAGGCTCGTCTACACAAACACTTAGTTCATGGCAAGCTGGGGTGTAAATCTACCTCGCGCTAGCCTGCCACACATTAAGTGCCCATGTGGACCCTGCTGCTGCACACTAGAAGTTCTGTAATACTCTACGAAGTGAGACCATATCTACACCATGGGTGCTACAGTGGCAGAGATATGGTGCTGCAGCTATGCTATTGTAGTATAGACACTTCCTACAGCAATGTAAGGGGTTGCTAGGCTGACAAGTGTTCTTCTGTCCATGGAGCTGAATCCACACTGAGGGTTAGGGCGGCATGACTACAGCACTCAAGGATGTGAATTTTTCACATCCCTGAGTGTCAGAGCTATGTCAACCCAACTTAAGCATAGGACAGGCCTGAGTCCCAGGGAAGTGACATAACCAAGGATAGAAAAAGTTACTGACAGTTGTTGCTCAAGTAGGAAGGTCCTACTAGTTCCATTTAATGTGAGATGCATTCTGCCTGTGCCAAAGGATTACGGTTTATTTAGGTGTTAAATAGGTGTACAATTAAGATCTGATTGTTCATTAGAAAGGATTCCAAACAGGAATCTAGAAAGAAAGAAATGCAGTGAACATAATTTCTGTTATAGTAAAATTCCTTTTCTCTTTATCACCTCGTCACTTAACTGGAATGTCACATCAACCACAAAGGTGTCCAAATATGATGATTTTACTACATCATAAAATAGGATTCTAAAGAGAAACTGAATGGTTTACAGAGGTCTAAATGCATAATTCTGTTTGCCAAGGCCTCATCTACACTACAAAACCGACCCATAATAAGTACGACTGATGGCAACAGTTGTTAAGCCAGGGTATAACAATGGTTAGGTGAAACAGTGCTAAACACAGTTGGTCCTTGTTTAACAAATGGACCATGCTGAGCACGCTCTCTTCTGCATCTGTTAGCAACAACTGTTGCTAACATTACTATTTGGTAGTTTTGAAAAGGCCCTCATTCACAAAAAAGTGAATGCAATGTGAACAAATGCAATGAAGTTTGTGGGCAGTTTGAAACAATGGCTCTCTGGTGGCATGAACTGGTATTATTCACTTCAAAGGAGTGATAACAGTGAAACCTAGTAACAATTCAGGTTGTAACACTGTTAGTGATTTCACTAACCGATGTAAGCATGCTATAAAGGAGAGGAATTCCTGTATTAACAACAGCTGCACAATCTAGTGTGAGAAGCAATGCATTTTGGCATCGGGGTGGGCAGAATCTGGGTTGAGCTTCAGAGTACTACCACTCCCCTTACACAGTTCAGCCTTTGGGAAGGAAGGGGAAGAATGACCACAGAAAACACACATGTGCATGGAGTCCACTTAAGAAAGTAGTTCTCTCCCATCAGAAGATATCCTGTAACTAATAAAATTTGTTTTCAAATAAGGGTAGGTTTATACATCAAAAGCTGCAGGATCACAGCTGCACCAGTGCAGCTGTGTCGCTGTAACTGTTTACTTAAGATACTACTACACTGATGGGAGAGCTTCTCCCATTGGCATAGTTAATCCATGTCCACAAGAGGCAGTAGCAGCTCTCCTGTCGACATAGGGCTGTCTACACCAGGGGTTAGGTCAGTATAAATGCGTCTCTCAGGGGTGTGGATTCTTCACAGCCCTGAGCAATGTAGTTATACAGATGTATGTTTGTAGTGCAGGCCTGACCTAAGCTCCATATTCAAACTGAAAATCAATTGTGCAACACACTTCTGTATCTTGGAGACTTTTCCAAATAGTGACTGATATTTTTAACCTTAAAACCCTAAGAAGTTCTCATCCAATTCAATTTAACAGGTCTTAAAATACTCAGCAGTGCACACAAGAAGTTACATTATTCCCCATACCCACACACAAGTGGATTTTGCAACACTGAAGTGTAAATGACGAAGGTCACCGTTCATTTTAGCAAGAAACATGTTTTCATTAAGGTAGTATTTTTTCCAAAGCGGCTATAGATTTCCAAACATGTTTCCTGTTTATGTGAGAAGTCTTTTTTGACCTCCCATCCACACAGATATAAACTGCATTACAATACGTGTGACTAGAACTGATCTTAAAATGAGTCTCTCTTCTCCCCTCTTCCCAAACCCATGGAAAATCCAGATGAAAGTGAAAAAAGGTTTGCACAGGAAAGACAATCAAATCCTGCAGATTTTAGGGATTTAGGGTGACGCGTTCCACAGGATAATCCGGAAGAGACAGTCTTTCCCATTGGCCAGGCATGGAGACAACACTAACAAAACAGTAGGAATTCAGAGTCTCGGTTTTAAAAAAAATCAGAGGTTGTCAAGTTTACATTGTGTCATAAGCGCTGGATAAACTAGGTAAAAAGCATTTGCTCTCTGCTTTGTTTCAATATAAACGTTTACATGGCTTAACCAGAAACAGAACTCCGCAGCCTTCAAACTTTTACAATTCTCAACAGGGCACAATATTGCTGCAACATTACTCAAGTTGTAGAATGCTATGGGCATTATAGATCTATAGGGAAGTGCTGTCAGCGTGCTCAGTACTGTACAAGCGTGCACACACTTACCTCTTTGTCAATCAGCCTCAATGGGTATTTCACTTCAGGGTCCTCCAGGGTAATTGCAGGAGGGGGTTTCCTGAAGAGTCTCATGATCAAGCTGTAGACTAGCCATAATGGGTATGTCACAATCCCTCCAAGCTGCAACAATGCATAAAGACAGAATATTAACATCGCTGTTTGTTTTAGTGAAGTGATACCATGATGATAATGGCATGTCAGAAACAACCCATGAGACATATCCTCAGTTTTTGCATGCTTATATTAGGAGCATACAGAAAATAGTCCATTCAAAGATAAACCAGTGTTTACACTTACTGCACTGAGGTACCATATAAATAATGTGGTAGTTTAGATACACATTTAGTTTGCCTTAGTCTTTCTGGACTCCTAGGACTCAGCTATCACAGCATGGAACAGATTATAGACATGATGGTAGATTTATTCTGCCTCTTGTTTTCATATGTCCAGTTAGTCATTTAGAACAAACCTTCTCCCTTTGCAGAGGGTCCATGCAAGGGTGGCACAGGCATAAGAATGGCCATACTGGGTCAGACCAAAGGTCCATCCAGCCCAGTATCCTGTCTGCCAACGGTGGCCAATGCCAGATGCCGCAGAGGGAGTGAACCTAACAGGTAATGATCAAGTGATCTCTCTCCTGCCATCCATCTCCACCCTCTAACAAACAGAGGCTAAGGACACCATTCCTTACCCATCCTGGCTAATAGCCATTAGTGGACTTAAATTTATGGAGGTTCTCTAGTTCTCTTTTAAACCCTGTTATAGTCCTAGCCTTCACAACCTCCTCAGGCAAGGAGTTCCACAGGCTGACTGTGCGCTGTGTGAAGAAGAACTTCCTTTTATTTGTTTTAAACCTGTTGCCCACTGATTTCATTTGGTGGCCCCTAGTTCTTATATTATGGGAACAAGTAAATAACTTTTCCTTATTCATTTTCTCCACACCACTCATGATTTTATATACCTCTATCATGTCCCCCCTTAGTCTCCTCTTTTCCAAGCTGAAAAGTCCTAGCCTCTTTAATCTCTCCTCATATGGGACCCGTTCCAAACCCCTAATCATTTTAGTTGCCCTTCTCTGAAGCTTTTCTAATGCCAGTATATCTTTTTTGAGATGAGGAGACCACATCTGTATGCAGAATTCAAGATGTGGGCATACCATGGATTTATACAAGGGCAAGAAGATATTGTCCATCTTATTCTCTATCCATTTTTTAAATGATTTCTAACATCCTGTTTGCTTTTTTGACTGCCACTGCATACTGCGTGGATGTCTTCAGAGAACTAGCCACAACTCCAAGATCTCTTTCCTGATTAGCTGTAGCTAAATTAAACGCCATCATATTGTATGTATAGTTGGGGTTATTTTTTCCAATGTGCATTACTTTACATTTATCCACACTAAATTTCATTTGCCATTTTGTTGCCCAATCACTTAGTTTTGTGAGATCTTTTCGAAGTTCTTCACAGTCCGCTTTGGTCTTAACTACCTTGAGCAGTTTAGTATCGTCTGCAAACTTTGCCACCTCACTGTTTACCCCTTTCTCCAGATCATTTATGAATAAGTTGAATAGGATTGGTCCTAGGACTGACCCTTGGGGAACACCACTAGTTACCCCTCTCCATTCTGAAAATTTACCATTTATTCCTACCCTTTGTTCCCCGTCTTTTAATCAGTTCTCAATCCATGAAAGGATCTTCCTCTTATCCCATGACAACTTAATTTACTTACAAGCCTTTGGTGAGGGACCTTGTCAAAGGCTTTCTGGAAAGCCAAATACACTATGTCCACTGAATCCCCCTTGTCCACATGTTTCTTGACCCCTTCAAAGAACTCTAATAGATTAGTAAGACATGATTTCCCTTTACAGAAACCATGTTGACTTTTGCCCAACAATTTATGTTCTTCTATGCGTTTGACAATTTTATTCTTTACTATTGTTTCAACTAATTTGCCCGGTACTGACATTAGACTTACCGGTCTGTAATTGCCAGGATCACCTCTAGAGCCCTTTTTAAATATTGGCATTACATTAGCCATCTTCCAGTCATTGGGTACAGAAGATGATTTAAAGGACAGGTTACAAATCACAGTTAACAGTTCCACAATTTCACATTCGAGATCTTTCAGAACTCTTGGGTGAATGCCATCTGGTCCCGGTGACTTGTTACTGTTAAGTTTCTCAATTAATTCCAAAGCCTCCTCTAATGACACTTCAATCTGTGACAATTCCTCAGATTTGTCACCTACAAAGGACGGCTCAGGTTTGGGAATCTCCCTAACATCCTTAGCCGTGAAGACTGAAGCAAAGAATTCATTTAGTTTCTCCACAATGACTCATAGGAGCCCTCTGTGCAGGAACAGATTTTAAACATAGGACCATATTATATCATTCTCTACATGGTCTACTCCCACACAGCAGATGGGGTTGTGACAGGAACCCCTGGGGTGCCACTTGGAACTGGGGTACCACTGAGCTCTGACCCACCAGCCTGGGCTCCCTCTCACACTGTGCTGCTGTGACAAGTTGCAAAGTCCTCCAAACTTGCACTTTCACCAGCATTCACACAGGTAGGGACACACCCAGCTGCAGTTACATGCAGGCTCTCTAACCATCAGCCTCCCAGCCTAGGACCCCAGAGCAGTACCATCTTGCCCTGGTCAAATCTGGCCAGTATATGGGTTTAACACCCAGTCCGCCTCTCCCTCAATGTGAAGGAGGACCGTGCACGCTTGTAGTAACCAAGCTGAGATTTTCCCCAGACACCTTAGTCAAACGCACCCTGGTTTGGATTAGAACATAAAATAAATTTATTAACTATAAAAGGTAGATTTTTAGTGATTATAAGGGATAGCAAACAGATCAAATCAACAAAACATGCAAACTAAACTTAATCAATGACATAGGTTGGATATGAATAGCAAATCCTCACCTAAATGAAGAGACAAACAGGCTGCAGATTCTTAAGGGGAAAGCTGCACTAGCTTATAGTTTGGAATCCCCAGGTGTTTCATTCACAGGCTAAAAATCCCTTTAGCCTGGGTACAGTGCCCCCCCACACACACACCGCCATTCAGTCTTTGTTCCTCAGGTGTTTCCAGGAGTCTCTTTGGGGCAGGGAGTCAGTGAAGAACCACAATGATGTCACATCCCTGCCTTAAACAGATTTTGAATATGGCAGGAACTCTTTATTTCAAAACTTCGTTCCCACACCAGTCAGTGGAAAAACACTGATATTCCAAGATGGAGTCCAGTCCCTGCTGACCTAGTCACATGTCCTTGTAGTGTTACAGCAGCCATGAGTCAGAGGCTGTTCCTCAGGAAGGCTCCCGGCCTGCAGAGTTGCCAAGTCTCACAAGATAAGGGAGATATGCTTCTTCTAAGGCCTTCCCGAATGGGCCCTTCCCAGCCAGCGATCCAGACTGAGAGCCTTTTGCCTAGTGGGCATTCCCCAGGTGTAAACACATTTGTAATACAGATATAAAGTCAGTATTCCTCACTTCAGATACAAAAATGACTTTCTTCCTCTGGGGATGGGGAGTGAAAGATTTTGCCCCTCCACCAGAAGGGGCAGGGAACTCCATTTTCTTTTTTTCAAATGTTACATACTGCATTGGTGCACTACAACTTCCAGAAGGAATTTAAGACATAACTGGGCATTTTTCACTTTCGCTAGCTTATAAAACGAAGTAATTTGATTGGCTGTTTTCAAGTCATAGTGCTATAAATGTGATGGCTATTGAACACTATAGCAACTCATGTCAAGAAGCTACTAATATAAACAACCATTTGTGGCAGATTCAGATCATTTTTAGTGTGTTACGGAGGTATCTGCTCAAAAAAATTTAAATGAAGCCAGAATAGCTTAAACCCTCTCTTCCTAGAACTTTGCTGTACTGAAGTAACATACAAAAGTCTCAAGTAGGGGTTTTTGTATTTTATCCATTAGCATCACAGGAGCTTTGAAACAGGTCCCCATTCCCCCCCCCCCCCCAACTAATCTTGTTTTAACTGCAAATACTGATGTTATGCATGCACACCAGTTTCTAATGGATCTAAAGCTAACAAGACTATTTACATTTCCATGTTTCTGCGGCACCATTAGATGTCAACTCTGAGGGCTTGTCTACACTTACAGTTCTGCACCAGTGCAGCTGCACCACTGTAGCACTAAGAGAAGACGCTACCTATGCCAATGAGTGAGCTTCTTCTGTTAGCGTAGGTACTTCACCTCCCCAAAAGTCGGTAACTACGTTGATGGGAGAAGCCTGCCCATCAACATAATGCTGTCTACACCAGGAGTTCAGTCAATATAACTGTGTTGCTATGGGCTGTAGATTTTCCTCAACCTTGAGCGACAGTTATTCTGACATAAGGTTACAGTGTAGACCAGGGCTAAGATGACTGTTCGTTAATTGCTGATGCAACAATAGCAAAAAACTATATCACACAAAAGGTTACTTTTTATGTTCAATTTCTTGGTGACAGAGATGGACAGAATACTGAATAGAAATTCCAGATTACAGAAGATTTTTTGAGGCCGACCAAATTTTAGTCCTAACATAATGTAGTGTCCTTTAAAGATGCAGTTATCAATTAGCAAAGGAGCAGCTACAGCTAATTAAATGAGCACAGGATTGCGAATCAGGAGCCGAGGCTCTATTCTCAGCTCTGTCACTGACATGTTGAGTGACCTCGGGCAAGTCACTTCATCTCTTTGTAAGTCAGTTTCTCCATCTGTAAAACGGAGCTAAATCCACCCCAACTTTGTGAACTACTTTCAGTCCACATATGGCAAGTACTGTAAGTGCAAAGTATTATTGTAACTTATTACATTGTTATGTCACATTTACATCTTCTTCTGAAGCACAGGACAACCACCACTTTTAGAGGCAGGGTGCTGCACTACATATCCGTCACGATATGGGAATTTCTACCATTAGTTTTGATCCACACGACTAATACGCTGTCTGCTTCATAAATGCAGAATGAAAGGCACTTTGTTATTTATGCTCAGTTAGTGCAAGAGCCTCTCGGGATTCTGCTTCAAAGGAAAAGTACAGTAGGGCAGTTCAGATACATTCTGATCCAGCAGCTAAAGACTTATTGTCAGCTGATGGGAAAAACATGGACTGGTTGCTTTCCAAAATAATTCATCACTCTTGCTAAGAAAACAGGCCTGAAATATACTAGCAGGACAAACAATTTTCTGTACACTCCTAATATAGGGCATCAATCAAGACATAAATCAAGATAGCTCCCTTGAAGTCAAAGGAGCTAGACCAACTTACAGCAGTTGAGTGATTGCAAGAAGGCAAGTTCTCTCTCCAAACATTGCTCTGGCAAGTCCTGCTTTCTAACGAGGCACATCCTAGCTACCAAAGATAAAACCTCCTGTTCTGAAATAATTTATTATTGCAATTGAACAAGCGTAATATTTTATGAAAAGTTCTACTTTTAACAATGGCATTTTACTACAGGTACAGGATCCTCGGCTCCTGAACTGGGGCGTGGTCAGTAGCATACAATGAAATACTTTCAAATGTATTGCCTTTAGAGCAGTGGCGGGCAACCTGCCGTCCACCAGGGTAGCTGATTGCGGGCCGGGAGACATTTTGCTGACACTGACCATCCACAGGCATGGCTCCCCACAGCTCCCATTGGCTGGGAACAGCGAACCGCAGCCACTGGGAGCTGCGGGGGGCCATGCCTGCGGACAGTCAACATCAGCAAAATGTCTTACAGCCTGCAATCAGTTTACCCTAGTGGGCCGCAGGTTGCCCACCACTGCTTTAGAGAGTGCATGTTATTGCCAGGAGTTACTGGGCTGCTATGTTTGTCTGGAGAGAGGGCAACAACTGAGAGCAGCGCATCAGGCATATTCTGAGGGAGATAATTTCTGGCAAAATACTCAGTCACTGAATTGTAATAAAATAAGAGCAATGAAAAACCTTTCTAGGAGAGCGTCTTACATCATCCAGGATGCTCAGCTGTTATCTCCCCATCCCAGCCTAGACCCACCTTTTAAGAAAGTTTAATTAGCATAGAGGGGTTGTTTGTGGTTTTGGAGGAGACATGTACATTTTGTCACTGTGCCTTTATCATGTACCCATCTTTGCTCTCTGCCTTTGTGGTCTAGAAGCAACAGTATCTGAAGTTCTATAGTTTATAGCTGCCTCCAGTCTATTCCTACAGGTCACCCTCAAACACCCACAGTTAGAAATATTTAAGCAGGTGCACTGGAGAAAGGGGGTGGAAATGAGAGGTTAGACAGCTGCTGGAAAAGGGTAATGATGCATGCTAATGACCGTTAACACTTTTCCACACAGACCCATCTCTTAACAAGCCACATAACTGTGCAAAGGTCTGATAGCTCATGGTATCATTTTTTAAATCAGATCGTGGCAAGGAAAAGGAAATCTGATAAATAAGCAATATAAATGAATAAGAACTTACTTTAATTATTCCATATAAAGAGTCTTCATTTTAGCATGTATACTGAGGCCTGTGTGCATTATGTACACAAGCAGAATATCACAAGTTAATCTCCTTTCCTTTTTTCCCACCTCTTCTAAGTAGTCAGTATACAAGTATTCAATATCTCTGGAATCCATCTGAAATTACCATATTTCTAAACAAATACATATTACATTGTCAAGTCAATAAAACATATGAACTTAAATTTAGACAAGATGGTAAGACGACACAGATACAGACATCCTTAATGTGCTTGCTTTCAGAATTCATAAAGCACTCTGATACAGCAGACATGAGCCAGAGTATAAATGCCATCAGAACTTCTTTCCTCCATATCTAGGCACCTGTACTCAGGCTAAAATTAAGATCCCATTTATGTTTAAGCAGGCCTTCACAAATAGAAGAGGGAGGATGTTCTACTGTACATCAAGAGACTATGAGCCAGATTTTCAGTTGATGAATATGAGCACAGTTCCACTCACAATTTATCTCAGCTGAGAACCTAACCCATAAACAAGTGCTGCTTAAACTGACCTATACGGGGAATCTCAATGAAATGAGCGTTTGGAACCAGGAAGAACTCAATAAAAGACAACCATAACACAGATACTATTAAACTGGATTTTGCCCAGGTTAAAAAGTTGTGGGAAAGTCATGCAACTGCTGACAACTGATAGCATTTAAACACCCACTTTTGCCTAACATTGGTCTGTCAAAAACCTTTCAACAGAAAAATACTTTTAAGAAATAAACTTAAATTACTTTAGTTTTCTGCCAGATAATTTTAAAGCAGAGAATTTATTTAGAAATAAAGTTGACTGTACATTCTTAGATTTAAAGGACAACTCATTCACTCACAGAATGGTTCAAAGAGTTTGTGCCTCCTCTTCTATGGGACCTTTACTTACTATTCTGAATTACACTTGAATCAGCAAGGATGCAAGCCCTTATCAATGAGTAGTATATTTAATATCGATCTTTTTTTTAACAACCACCACTCCCTTCAGAATAGGAAATACAGCATTAAACTAATAATATCCTCACAGTGCTAGTGCTATATTCTACTTATAGCTGAACACGAACTTTTGTTTAAACTTTTTAACTGATTTTTAACAAAGGACAGAAGTGTAGTGCTTCAGACATACACACAACCCCGTGCACTGAAATCCAATGTAATCCAATTTCTTAAGATTCTTCCTTAGGAAGATGGCCGGTCAGCCCTCCCTCCCAAGCCTCCCTCTACCAGTTATTTGGCTGTATAATGACTGCATTATAAAAAAAATCAATGAATTTTGCACCTTCTGGAGCTACACACCCAGAGTACAAGCACTGCACCTTACAAAGCATGTGAAAACTGAAAGCAAGGACACTAGATCGTAGCTGAAAAGCAACCAGCCAGCCCCGCATCCTAGGCCTTTGCCAATGACCTTCTAAAAGATAGGATGTGGGTGTGATAAGCGCTCTTCTTCAGGCACATTCAATCTGTCAGTTTGCAAGGGAAAAAAGAAAACTGTGCTTCTCAACATTTAAGGTCACTAGCTCTTTCAAAACAGAATGTCTATTGTTATCACACACACCCACTTTTTACTGAAGGGTGATGAGAGCAGTTGCATTGCTTTGTAACATGCCTTACATATTCCGTTTCCTGGATAATGAAAGCTTTAAAATACACTCAGACCCATGAAAAAATTAAGTGACACTATGTCATTTAACGCCAGTGTTTATAGATACCCGCAACGTGTTTAAGAGAGGAAACGGGGTGGAGGTAAGTTTAGACGCCATAGGCTGGTGCCCATCCAGAAAACAGGAATCTGGAATGTTTTTCCACTGACTGTCAAACACGATGACTCACAAACTCCACCGCACAAGCCTTGGAGCAGCTGATGAGGCCCCTAAGAAAGGCTTTACGGGTCCCCCCCTCTCCCGCCTTGGCATTGCTAACGGACCACTGCCAAACCCCTTCGCTTTTGCAGGCAGCAAACCAACTGCACCCGCTAATCCTGCGGGCAGCAGCTTCCACTCCCCAAGTTATTTGGTTTGCGTGGATGGTCAACAGACCTTGGGTGCGGCACCCCTCTAGATACGGCACCGGGGTGCCCCACACAGACGCGCACCCGGGGGGGGCAGAGAGGGGGCACAGGGCAGAGACGAGGCGTTTGCACGCAGCAAAGGGCTCCACCGTGCAGCTCTGCAAAAGGGAGCGCCAGGGTGGGGCCCTGTTCCCGGCGGAGAAGGGGGTCGGGGGGGGCAGTCTCAGCAAGAGGCCCAGCCGCCTCGCCTCGCCCCATCGCGGAAGAGGCGCCCTGCCCGCTCCGAAGGGCTCCAGAGCCCCCGCCCCTCCGGGCAGGAGCAAGCGGCCGCTTACCGTGCTGAGCTGCGCCCCCATGCCTGCGCCGGGCTCCCTCTCTGCTGCTGCTGCTGCTGCGCCGGCGCCGGCGCCGGCGCCGAGAACAACCCAGAGGCCGCGAGCCACCCCCTCCCCGCGCTGCGCTACACTGTGGCGAGTCGGCGGCGCCTCCAGCGCGCTCCGCCCCGCCCCTCGGGCCTGCCTCTCCATTGCTGCAGCCCCTTGCCCGTCACGCGGGCTGACAGCTCGCTGGGTTCCCCCCCGCGCGCGCGCGCGCGCACACCCCCTGGCTGCGGGAGGGCGGGGCCTGGTTCCCCACCCTGCGGCCGGCTGTGGGGTGTGGCTGCGCCCTAGGGAGGCGCGGGGAGGGGGAGCGTTCCGCGTGCAGGGAGCGGGTAACCCGCAAGCCACCCTGCCTGCGGGGTGGCCTCGCAGTGGGGGGTGAAACCTTGAATTCCCCTTCCCAGGAGCTGGGAGCCGCTGCCGGGGCGCGTTGGCTGTTCTCCAGACAGACAATGCTGTAGGAAGAGTGAAAAAAAAAAAGAGGAGGACTTGTGGCACCTTAGAGGCTAACAAATTTATTTGAGCATGAGCTTTCCTGAGCTATAGCTCACTTCATCAGATGCATTAAGTGGAAAATACAGAGTATTACTCATTAGCGTCCTCATGGGCAGCCCGAAGGCGGGTGTGTCAGGGTTCCTTCCCCACGCTGAACTCGGGGGTACAGATGTGGGAACCTGCATGCAAGACCCCTGAAGTTTATTTTTACCAGCTTAGGTTAAAAACTTTCCCAAGGCACAAATTCTTTGCCCTTGGAAGGTATGCTGCCACCACCAAGTGATTTAGACAAAGAATCAGGGAAAGGACCACTTGGAGTTCCTGTTCCCCCAAAATATCCCCCTAAGCCCTTACAGCCCCTTTCCTGGTAAGGCTTGAGAATAATATCCTAATGCTGTAATGGTTAGAGCAGCTAGGGCATCCGAGCCTGTCGCCCCATCCGCCAGAGCTTGTTGTTTGGCCTTGGGCAACTCACTTCATTTTTGTATGTCTCGCTGCTCCCATATAAAACGTAGAGAACACCTTACATGCACAACCTGCCCTTCTCGCCCCCACAGCCCCGGGCTGTTGCTATGAGGGCAAGTTAATGTTTGTCTGGTGCTTTGAGCTCATACAATCCGGGGTGCCATTTCAGATTTTGGTGGGGGGGGGGGCAACTTTAACCATGATTCCTGGGGCTACTTAGGCATTTGAAAACTAGTTTTTTGGCAGATAACTTAGCAATCAGCTGACAGGAGCCCTGTATCTAATTCCTTTATAAAAGAAAGAAAATTAAATAAATATTAGACCCACTCAGTTTTGGCCTTCACAACATCCCCTGGCAAAGAGTTCCACAAGTTGACTGTAAAGAAATACTTTTTTTTTAATCTTCTGCCTATTAATTTCATTGGTTGACCCCTAGTTTTATGTGAAGGAGTAAATAACATTTCCTTATTCCATTTTTCCACACCATTCATGATTTTATAAACCTCTATCATATCCCCCTTAGTCATCTCTTTTCCAAGCTGAAAAGTCCCAGTCTTTTTAATCTCTCCTCATACAGAAGGTATTCTATACCCCTAATCGTTTCTGTTGCCCTTCTCTGTACCTTTTCCAAATCCAATATATCTTTTTTGAGATGGGGTGACCAAATCTGCATGCACTATTTAATATGTTGGCATACCGTGGATTTATATGGAGGCAATATGATATTTTCTCTTATTATCTATTCTTTTCCTAATGATTCACAATATTCTGTTATCTTTTTTAAATGCCACTGCACATTGAACAGATGTTTTCAGAGAACTATCCACAATGACACCAAGATCTCTTTATTGACAGGTTCAGCTAATTTAGACCCCATCATTTTGTATGTATAGTTGGGATTATATTTTGCCAAGTGCATTACTTTGCATTTATCAACATTGAATTTCTTGAGCCATTTTGTTGCCCAGTCACCCAGTTTTGTGAGATCCCTTTGTAGCTCTTCGTAGTGTGCTTTGGACTTAACTATCTTGAGTAATTTTGAATCATCTGCAAATTTTACCACCTCACCGCATACTCCTTTTTCCAGATCATTTATGAATATGTTGAACAGTACAGATCCCTGAGAGACACCACTGTTAATCGCTCTCCAATCTCACCTTTTATTCCTGCCCTTTGTTTCCTATCTTTTAACTGAAGTGCCTGGCAATGCTTTCAGGATCATCTAAGGATCCTTAATTTATTTTAATGATAAGCCTTTTGTTATCTAAATCACCCTGCCTGTTTATAAACAAACTCCCTTCCCCAAAGGCTGTGCAGCTCCCAGCTACCGAACTCATCACATATCACAATCAAGCTGTTGCACTTAAGAGCTCCAGCTGGGGCTAGGGTGGGTAGACCTCCCCTACAAAACTCAGGGCTAGAGCCCTCCCCTGCCATAGGGGCCAACTTCTCCTGGAGCCGGTGGGTGCTCGACCCTCCCCGGCCCCGATTTCACCCCTGCCCCACCCCCATTCCAACCCCTTCCCCAAAGTCCCTGCCTCAACTCCGCCCCTCCCTGCCCCTATTGGACTCCTTCCCCAAATCCCCACCCCGGCCCCGCCTCTTCCCTGCCTCCTCCCCTGAGCACACCGCATTCCCACTCTTCCTCCCTCCCTCCCCCAGCTTGTTACGCCATGAAACAGCTGTTTTGTGTGGCAAGCGCTGGGAGGAGAAGCGGGGACGCGGCACTCAGGGAAGGAGGTGGAGGCGGCGCTCAGGGGAGGAGGTGAGGCGGCGCGGGGAGCTTGGCTGCCTGTGGGTGCAGAGCACCCACCAATTTTTCCCCGTGGGTGATCCAGCCTCGGAGCACCCATGGAGTTGGCACCTATGTCCCCTGCCCCCGCAAGTGGTGCCCCTGCATACAATGAAAAGCGCTGGGGAAATGTAACTTTCCGTATGCCCATACTATCTAAGTTCTCAACCAACATAAAGCTGGTTTCAGATTCTCAGCCTTGTCAGGATGACAGGGGTCAGGTCTCTACATGCATCTCTGAAGTTGCAGGTAGCTGTGCTTCCTTGAATCACCTGCAAACATTAGGGCTTCACAGTGAGTCACGTTATTATATAAATTATCAGCTCCTCAGCACTGTTTCATTAGTAAGAGTGAAGGTGACAAGAAACAAGGTGTGCATTATGGTCCGGAGGACCCCTTATAAAATACATGACTGAGGGTTATGTCTACTCTGCAAGCACGTGTGATTGCAGCTTATGTAGACGTACTGGACCTAGCTTTAATTAGTTAGCTCAGGAACTGGAGCAGTGAAGATGCAGCCGTGCACATTTCTGCGTGAGCTAGTTGCACAAGTAACTACCCAGGAGCACTTGTACAGCTCCTGGTGAAGTGTGCACTGGCACAGCTTCACTACTTGTGTATAGAGCTGGATGGGGAGGGTGGAAATGGTTAAGGGCCAACCAATTCTGAGATTGTTGGTGAATCAAAAAAGTCTGTTTCGGGTCTGTTCCTGAACAGGCATTTGAATGTAGGTCTCCCACATGCCAGGTACCTTAACCACTGAGCTAAAGGTGATAAAAGTGGGAGGGGGTCGGAAGGACAGCAGCATCATAGCTACCTCTTTAAGCCATTTGGTAAATAGCCAGAATTAATCATGTCAAATTTATGACTAGTTTTTATTTGACTGTAACCACGTTTTTCTTTGAATAACCTACTAATCTGAAAAAATTCACCCAGCTCTATTCCAGGACTTGACCTAGATGGATTAAAGCTAGCTTGTGTATGTCTACATGAGTGTAGTGCAGACAGACCCTGAGTCAAATAAAAATGTTAAAAAATTCTTATGAAATCATATAATCATGATCTCCTTTGTAAAGTGCTTTGATATCTGTGCTACCATGGCATCACTACTGTTGGTACCCAATCAACTAAATTAAAGCCAACTAGGTATGCCTATGTGTGTTGCAATCATACTTCTTAATTGCAGGGTAGACAAATCCAAAAATAAAGGGAGAACAACATTGACTTAAAGCCATCTTTCCCACCTAAGTGCAGAAATAGAGCACCTGAGAATCAGGGCCCGAATTTCTTTCAGGTGATCCAGTAGAGAATAAGAACCTGATGGGGGACCTATACCAAATGTTGATCCATAAAGTAACCATAGGCCCTAAAAATGCTGTCTTGGAAAGGAAAACAGATGAGCTTGGTTTGGGTAAGGAGCCAATGAGTTACAGAGGTGGGAATTGAAAGAATGGTAACCAGTGGTTTTAAGGTGACCTGCACAGGCAAAAGTTATTTGAATTATGTTCTTTTTAGTTTCTTTGTGATATATTTTTTAAAAGCCTAAACTTTGGCATTTACAGTCCTTGGATTTGGCACTTGGGAGAAGCAGAAGTATCCAATCTCTAGGTTTAAATGTGCTTTCCTGTGGAGGAGCCTGCAGGACCCCCAGCATCCTTTGTCCAGGCTTGGCTGGCCTTCGAGAGGGACCAGGCTGAGGCACTGCAGTTTGCTGGGCCCCACAGGAGGCTGCTGTTTCTGGAGCTGGGTGTGATACACTGTACTTCAAAGTAGCACCCTGTAACCCCCATATTCATCATTTGTATCTGGTTGTGATATTTCATACAAAGCATGCCACATAGGATACCATATGAAAGGTCATAGATTCATAGATTCATAGATATTTAGGCCAGAAGGGACCAATATGATCATCTAGTCTGACCTCCTGCACAATGCAGGCCACAGAATTTCACCCACCACTCCTAAAAAAGACCTCACATCTATATCTGTGCTATTGAAGTCCTCAAATTGTAGTTTGAAGACCTCAAGGAGCAGAGAATCCTCCAGCAAGTGACCCGTGCCCCATGCTACAGAGGAAGGCGAAAAACCTCCAGGGCCTTCCAATCTGCCCTGGAGGAAAATTCCTTCCCGACCCCAAATATGGCGATCAGCTAAACCCTGAGCATATGGGCAAGATTCATCAGCCAGATACTACAGAAAATTCTTTCCTGGGTAACTTGAAGGTGTTGGGAGGAGGCCATGGGGAAGTAGCCCAGGGAGTTGTAGCGGTCTCACAGCTGTTCCAGGAGGCACTCTAGACAGCTGCATTCCACAGGGCCCTGGGCTGGAACCCGGAGTAGAGAGTGGGCCCGGGTTCCCCCCAAATCCTCCCGACTCCTGGTCAGACACAGGAGGAGTCGACCTGGACTGTGAATTCAGAAAAACGGCCAAGCTGAGGGCTGCCGTCATGATCTGCTGAATCTCATTGTTCTGTCAAAATATGTATATCATTAGTATGTATGAATTTTTAAGATTTTGTAATATAATTGTTATTGAAATATGTTGTGAGTTTGGGAGACACCCACTGCTAGCTCTCCAGTGACAACAAAGTGACACCCAAACAGGCATTAAGCGACCATCATGAGCCATTGACTATCAGGGGAATTATAAATCAGAGATTTACACTTTTGTAAGAAACAGTTGCGTGAGCACCACACAATGGGGATTGCTCAACTCTGGGACTCAGCAAGGCCCACAGGACACATCTGGGCCAGTATCTTCTCTGGGACATGAACTGAGAGTATAAAATAAGGGACAGTGGGATCACGAGACCACCTCCTCCTGCCCCACCTACAATGAAGGCAACAAGAACACTGGGAAGACAAAGACTTTGAACTGAGGAGATTGATCTCAGACTCAGAAGGAAATTCAGCCTTTGTGTTAAGAACTATAACCTACCTGCAACATCCAGTGGGGGGGGGTGTGTGTGTGAAAAAAACTGTTTGATTCAACTCTTGCTTAGTCTGAAAGTTTAGGGTTTAGAACACATGTTTATGTAAGAAGATAAAATATAACTATCTCTGACCTTTATGCCTACCACTTATAATCACTTAAAAAACTTTCTGTAGTTGATACACTTGTTTTAATGTTTTGTCTTTACCAGTGAGTTTGTCTAACGTGTGTTGGGAATCTGCTCAGATTACACAGGATGTTTTACGTCCACTCTCCTTTGACAAAGTGGCGAACTAATTAAGGAGCTTACATTATTCAAGAGAAGGTCTTGAGCAGTATAAGATGGTACATTCTGAGGTGCAAGGCTGGGGGGATTGGCTGGTGTCTCCCTTTCTATAGTTCATGAGTTGCTTGCAGAGCATTCATGCAACTTAGCTGGCTGTGTCTCTGCATTTTGGTGGCTGAGTGATAACAGCACCTGGAGGAGTTTGCAGCTTGGCACTAGCAAAGCATTGTGAGAGACACCCCAGGCTGGAGAGTAAAGGGGGCACAGTTCCAGGTTGTACACTGGAGATTCCATCACACCAGAGGATCACATTACACTGGGGCATCAGGTCACTGATTCCCCAGAGAGATTCTCAATGGGGCTGCATCTAGCCTTTGGTCTCAGCCTGTGCTGATCCAATCAAATAAGGTGCTTCCAGGATGGCTCACTGAACTGCTGTCACCACTTGCTCAGACATCATCAGGAAAACCTTCGAGTCATCCTCAGGGCCCATTTTCATGAGTTTTCACTGACATGACTGTGGCTGGCCAGGTCTACAGCCCCTGGAGATGAAATCCCAGTAAGACGCTGAGGCTACATTAGGGCCACTACCTGTTGGACCAATTGTTGCTGCTGTGCCCCTAAGTCCCGGATCTGCTGTTGCTGCTGGACAGCCAGTTGCCACAGGAGCTGCTGTTGCTATTGCTGAATCTTGGTCATCCACTTTAGAAGGCATCCCAGATCCACGCTGTCACCATCTTACCAACTCACGACCTTAGGTCGAGGGTGTTCAACAGTCTGAGTCAGTCTCCAGGGATGGGAAGATCATGCCCGCATTCTCTACCACATTGTCACTAGGGTTCTTATGCCAGGTAGGGTTACCACCTTTGAAATGCAAAAAAGCCCGCCGCAAGCCCAACCACAAGGCAACTCAACAGCCCCCCCCCCTTCTAGAGCCACTCCAGAGAGAACACGTATAGATAAGATTGATAACATCATTTTCTTATTTAAACTTCAGAAGTAGGAACGCTGCAGCATCATTAGCTGGGCACAGAAACTTTTAACATTAGCTAGCTCAATGTATTGTGGTGCTAATAATACAAACCTTTAGACCCACTTAAAAAATAAACAAGCAGATTAAATTATTTTTCTGGCAACTGGCAAATCCGTAAAAAATCTGGCCAGGCCAGTCAGATACTGGCAAGGTAGTATCCCTAATGCCAGGGTGCCCCTTAGAGGCCAGGCCAGCCTCCAGCACTCATCTAGGCCTCTGCTCTATGGTGTCAGGGTATTCCAACACTCCAGTCCAGTCTTACAAGGCTCAGCCCTCCGGCTGAACCTAGGGTTGCCAACTTTCTATTTGCAGAAAACTGAATATCATTACCCCGCTCCCTGCCCTGCCCCTCCCCAAGGTCCCTACTCTACCCCCTCCCCGAAGCCGCACCCTCCACTCACTTCATCCCCCCTCCCTCCATCACCCGCTCTCCCACATCCTGGCTCACTTGCTCATTTTCACCGGACTAGGGCAGGGGGTTGGGGTGTGGGAGGGGGTGAGGGCTCCGGGAAGATTTTAAAGCCCTTCATAGTACTTTCCAAATGTCAGCTCTCATGATAGTTGTGGGAGGAAAGGCGGGAAGGTGTTTTTTCCCTGTATACTATGTCTTCATTAACTTTTTCTTTGTTGATTTATAATAACCATACAATAAAACAAAAGCATGAGAATGACACTAAGGACCCAAGCCTGCTCTCAGTGAAGTCAATATTAAACTTTTAGGTTTGAAGTGATTGTTTCTGGATGTAAAATTCATACACCATGTGGAAAGTAGTGGGCAAAGAATTTAATTCTGGAATTCCCTACAGAGCTCTGTTTTCTGTGTGCTTTGTAAATCTGCACGTCCACCATGACGAAAGCTCTAGAGGCTAAGAATGATGAAAAGGCAGATCTAAATCTTGCTTAGCGTCTCCCTATCTCCTCAGCACACATAATAGCAGACAAGTTACTCCAGTTACTAGCAGGTTGCAGCTAGACACAAGTTTATTATTGTCAGGTTTTGCCCCTCCCTCTATGCACACTCCCCTCCTGTAGCTACGTGTCTGCATCTCCATTGCCTTCTTGCTCTGTCTATCACATTGACTGACAGTTCTGGGTAACTAGGTTGTGGGAAAGAAACACCTCTTCAGTCTGTTCACTGAGCTGCAGAGTTTTGAGCTTCAGCTGGATCTTACTCTCTAGTGTAAGAGAAATATATCCTTTCAGCATGGCTCGTAGGTAAGGGAGAATCACATTGGCTCACTATTCCTCTTTTTTAAATGCCAAATAGACAGAGAGTTGTGCTTCTCTGGGGCACCTATATTTAAAGGAGCTTTAATTGGAGTGCAGCATTGCAATAACATTCTGCTTATTGTTTCTGTTCTATTGTAGTAACTTGCTTCAAGTTGAAAAGCTGCTGGGGGCTAAAAGGGCAACTGAATCATATGCTGCTTTATGTAAAATAATGTGATACTAAGATTAGATGTTTTAAGACAGCTGATGTTGTAGGATACCTTGCAAAGATAAAGTTATAATGATTCAAGGCCCTCCTTCTAGACTTTCATCAAGCCCTCTTGTGTTTTTCCTGTATTATAGCGTCTTACTAGACTGTTTATTGCATTGATACAGTTGTTATTATCTTGAAACTTGAAGTGTGATCACCACTCTACAGATACAGTTCTGTTCAGTGGATCGGATTCTTCTCTCAAATGTATCATAAGGTTGTAAATCAGGTTTAACTCCACTGGAGCCCATGGAGTTGCACCTACACTGGAATAAATGAGAGGAGAATCAAGTCAATAGTTTATTTCTTTTACGAACAATTTCATACAATTTTAAGGGAAACTTTACATGCATGTTAAATCTTTATGCAAAGGGTTTGCTTAGCAACCTGGGCAAGTGTTTTGCTTCTTTTAAAATCACAAATGATGCGAAGATTAGGAGGACTTTTAAAAATCACCCTGCTGCTGAAAGTCTCCTGAGGATAAAATTACACTGCAGAAGAATTAAACAGCCTTCTGTTTGGGTGTTGCACTGCACATTTACAGTACAGGTTTGGTTGCATTGATTTTGTTGAATTCTTTAGAACTAGCTTTCAAGCTGATTGTGTCTGCTGGTTACAGCAGTACTTATTTCCTGCTCAGAAACTATTTGAACAAGGTGAAATCAGGGGGAGGGGAAGGGGGGTTGTACAACTGAATTGCATAAAAACCAAAAGGCATATCATGCAAATGTCTTGTTTTGAATTAGCAGCAATGCTAAGATTAGAGTTTTATTTTAAGTGTACAACTGTTAGAATATAGTAAAGTTTCAGTCAAGAAGCTACATCCCAGAAGCCCTCTTGCTTCTTACACTCTCAGTACAGCTTTTATTGCAAAGAAACTGAAAGATCTGAGATGGCTGGAACCAGCAACACTCCTGCAAAATTCACTTTTAATCCTATGCAAAACACGGCCTGTCTTGTCCTGCAAAAATTGTTTTAATCTTTTTTTATATGGAAACACCATGCTAGTAATTGGGGTGATTTCATCAAGAGTATGGAAGGAGGAATAATAGGGAAGGGATCAAGAACATACGAGACTATTCTCTGATTGCAAGCCACAGATGCTATCATATTGAAAATTAGAGGGGGAAGTATTATAATTTCTTTCAAGAAAACTTTTATCCAAACATTGACTGCATCTTAAGATGTATTATGTCCTGGGACTTCAAAGCCTCTGCTTGAGGTTATCACACCAGATGGTGAAGGTATTTTTGTGACATTTAGAAATACTTTGTACCGAATGACAATGTAACTTGTTAAGTAAGAGCTCGGTCTTGGCAGGGTTTGGTTTTCCCTTTGGTTTTTTTCACCTTCATTCTAAATTTCAGGTACAATTTGTGCATGTGCTCTTCCCTGTTTGAAAAGAAAAGGAACAACAAAAAGAAGATGGAAAGTCCCTAAGTTTATGGATGCCATTTTGATATTTTGGTCATGGATAGGGGAGAAAGGAGAGAAAAGAGAAAGTCATTGTGTCCTGTGAAGTGACTGCATTTCTAGGCACACATTTTTTGAATTGCTGGCAGTAGCATGCTTATTAAATTAATAGCTGAGCATAACCACTGTCTATGTGTTTGCTCACTCTTGGTCATCCTCTTTTGACTAAAGAAGCATGACGTGTGTTGTGGAGATGGGGTGGGGGAGTAATTTGGAAAATTTAAAAAAAATTACCCTAGAAGAGGAAAGTGCAAATGGCACCTTCCTATCCAATAAACACTGCCAATTTATAATGTGTAGCAGGGGTTGTTCCATTGGGGACAGATCTCCCCTATATGAAAGAGAATTTTTACATAAATGCTGTCAAACTCTTACCTTACTAAATCCTTATTTACAATCCAGCACACAGCAGATTCCCTGTCACCATAGCAATTGGCTCAAGTGTGAATATTCTGTGAAGCCTAGCACAGAGGTAGTGTAGCTGATGGTAGTAGAGTTGCCAACTTTCTAATTGCACAAAACTGAACACCCTTGCCCTGCCCCTTACCTGATGCCCTGCCCCTTCTCTAAGGTCCTGCCCCCCACTCACTCCATCCCCCCTCCCTCTGTTGCTCACTCTCCCCCACCCTCACTTGCTCATTTTCACCGGGCTGGGGCAGGGGATTGGGTGAGGGCTCTGGCTGGGGGTATGGGCTCTGGGATGGGGCCGGGGATGAGGGGCTTGTGGTGCAAGAAGGGGTTCCGGGCTGGGGGTATGGGAGGCGGATGAGGGCTCTGGCTGGGGATGCCGGCTTTGCGGAAGGGCTGGGGTTGAGGGGTTTCGGGTGTAGGAGGGAGCTCCGGGATGGGTCAAGGGGTTTGGAGTGTGGGAGGGGGCTCAGGGCTGGGGCAGGGAGCTGGAGTGTAGGAGGATCTACAGAGTGCCAGCTCTGGGCAGCGTTGACCTCAGGCAGCTCCTGGAAGCAGTGACATGTCCCTTGGCTCCTAGGCACGGGGCAGCCAGGCGGCTCTGCGGCGTCCGTGCTGCCTCCGCCCGCAGGAACCGCCCCGCAGTTCCTGTTGGCCGTATTTCCTGGCCAATGAGAGCTGCAGAGCTGGGGGCAGTGCACAAAGCCCCCTGGCCGTCCCTCTACCTAGGAGCTGAGGGACATGTTGCCGCTTCTGAGAGCCACGCAGAGCCAGGTAGGGAGCCTGCCAGTCCCGCGTCAACTGGACTTTTAATGGCCTGGTCAGCAGTTCTGACCGGAGCCACCAGGGTCCCTTTTTTGACCAGATGTTCCAGTCAAAAACTGGACACCTGGCAACCCTAGATGGTAGCAGCAGAAGCAGGGAGATAGACAGCATGAATGTACAGAATGAGTGGATAATGCTAAGAGTAAAGGAATAAAAGAAAACAAAGAGTTCAATATATGAAGTTGTCCGTTGCATTGCTGTATTTACTACTCATTTTAACCTCTTCATCCCTTGTTTGTTGGGTTTTGTGTTTTTTTGTTGTTTTTTAAGATCTGTGGGCTTGGGGAAAATCATTAGTAAGTCGGGATGATCTGTGGAACAGCAAAAACAGCAGCACTGGATTGGAACGTGAGATGAAAGGTAGTAGGGAGAGAGAAGGCAAGGTCAGAAGTGGGAGGAGCTTCAAAAGCAGCTAGGAAGGAACATAGGAGATGGCCAGTTCTATGACATTAAATGATTGTAGCATGATGGGAGTATGGCAACCTGTTGCTTCCAGTATGCTCCCTAACATGCAACTGAATTGGCATTTTGGTAAGAAAAGAGTTAATTTGACCTGCAGGTACGGTCTGATACAAAGGAATCTGCCCAGGAACACAGTAAGTGTGCAAAGCGACTATTGTTATACCACTGAAATTTATTATTGGGGCCTTGTGCTGGGAGATATTTTTAACACGATGTGAGGAAAAATAAAGGAGACCTGAGTTCAGTTTCTGGTTTTGGGGCCAAGTTCACCCTGATGTAAAAGCCTAAGTCAGCACCAATAATGGATTTAACCTTTGTTCCAGGTGCTTAATGCTAGTGATGGATTTGGTCCTTATTCCCCTTGATTTCAATGCAAGTTTGATTGAGCCTTTACTTCCTCAGACCAGTAGGAGCAGGAAGTACCTCATATCAATCAATGACAACCTTCTTCAACTAATGAAAGAGAATGGTTTAATGGGATTTGATGTGTATTCTGTCCAAGGCCTTCAGGGCTAAATGAACTGTGGCTGCTGAAGAGGCCTGGATTGTGTGTAATGCTAGAAGGAATACAGGCTAGGGGGGCGAATGCACAGGGCAGTTATTGCAAGGAGACCCTCATTTCCACATCCCCTTTATAACCAAAGCCATTGTGTTAAAGGCAGTTTAATATTTGTGCACATATATTGTTACTGTCAGGGAAGCAGTGTGTGGCAAGTTCCCGTTACCACAAGACATGGAGTTGATTTTTAATGTTATGTAGATTTGTAGCACATGGTGCATACAAGAGCCTGTCGTTTCCTCAAGTGGTCTTGTTTTCTCTCCTGCACTTACATGGCATATTATCTGTGGGTTTTGTAATCAGCGTCTGATTTCTACACCATGTATTGTGGAGTAATATTATTTGGCAATTCAGTTTTTTCAAGCAGTCTGTTCTAAAGCTAATTTAAGACCTCCAAATAGAATTACAAATATCTAAAAATAAATAGATGCGTGTGCACAAAAGGACATATGCTGTTCTCTTTCACTTTCATCCATCTTTTGCTTATGCTTAAATTCTAAAGGGCAAAACTCTGCCCTCAGATACATGCAAGAGTCTCCCATTGAAGTCAATGGGACCCTGCACGAGTGCACCCAAAGGCAGAATTTGGCCCACAGCTGTCAGTTTAGACTTTTGATTTGACACCATTCAGACTGGCATTTCAGTGATCAGTGGTCAACGTCTTGTTTATCTACACTTGGTTCTTGTGCCAATATAAATTTGCATAAGTCCTCATTGTATCTTTCTGAACTAATGTGCTGGACTTGCCAATTCAAATAGTTAAACCAAATAAAGTTTACTTTGTAAAGTCAGAGGGATTATAAATGAGCCTATTTGAACAGTCACAGCAGACTAAGAAATAGAAACTAGATAGGTCCTACTGGCTGTATTTTCAGATTGTTCAGACCTTGTTAGCTTTCTTCACAGTTGAAAGAAATGAGTCACAATCACTTGGTGACTAAGGGTGTATCTTCCACTGTAAAGTTAACTTCGGTGATTAGCATTTGGGTCTGGGCACCCGGATGGGCCTAGCCTGGGTGTGAGCAGCCACGCTGCACAGCTATAGCCGAATTTCTGTGTCCTCACTGGTACTACGCTCACCCATGTGAGGCTCTAGGAGTTCTGGGGGGCACATACTTTCAACGGTTCTTTGTGCTCCAGTAACCTGAACTTGCCTGATTCTTGCCTAGTGAATTGTGGGAGAACTTGTCCTTCTGCACGCATGGGGGGAATTGGAGGACCATCAGCGCTTGGGTGGTTTTGCTTGTGTCCTCAGTTCAAAATGATCAGGTACCCAGGCCAAGTGAAAGCCTCACTGGGGCTTCAGCCTGCAGCCTGAGATGAGTCAGCTAGTCCAGGTTAAAAGCACCACCACACTTGGGTCATAGGGTCTTGTGTATGGACTGGAGCGAGGGCAGGGGTAACACCTAAGGAAGAGCCCCAGTGAACTCTGAACTACCCCAAAACTAAGGCTAGTTCCTTAAGCTTAGCGCCGCTTGAAGAAATAGGGTCAAAATTTCATTGTAAATGTAAAACAAAGGGAAAAATACTGTAACCAGCCCCACTTCAGGGTACTGTAGTGAGTCCTGTGGTACATCAGTCCCCTTTGACCCCTTGTAGCATGTCCTGTGTACCATGCGCTCCAAGCATTAGGCTCTGCAAGGTCCAGCCCTCGTTGGGTTCTCATAAATACTCACACATTTTGAGTAAAAGGATTGCTTTACTATACAGCCAGTTATGCTCCATGGTGGAGGGGTGGGGCTTTCTATCCTGATCCCTGCAAGCAACTGGCTGAAGCCCTGATGCATGAGATTTTATTATTGCCATTGTTTTAATGCAGAGCTGCCAGTGTAGTGAGCACATTGTGGGCAATGTAGTCAATCCTGTTCTTCCCATGGACCACAAAGGAACGGGATGAATAGGCTAGTGCCCTCTATCCTCCAGCTGTGGCTACTGCTCTCCCCTGCCAACAACAGAGCGTGTCCGGCCCACTCTCAGTGTACTCATCCCAACTCTCAGGTTGACTTCTATCTGGCCTTCCCTCAGGCTGCTGTCTCTGAGCTGCTGTTCCTGGCCTCATGCAGCTTCTGTCCCCTTGATAACAGTTTTCAAGTATATAAAAGGTTGTTACAATGAGGAGGGAGAAAAATTGTTCTCCTTAACCTCTGAGGATAGGACAAGAAGCAATGGGCTTAAATTGTAGCAAGGGCAGTTTAGGTTGGACATTAGGAAAAAAATTCCTAACTGTCAGGGTGGTTAAGAACTGGAATAAATTGGGAGGTTGTGGAATCTCCATCACTGGAGATTTTTAAGAGCAGGTTAGACAAACACCTGTCAGGGATGGTCTAGATAATACATAGTCCTGCCATGAGTGCAGGGGACTGGATTAGATGACCTCTTGATGTCCCTTCCAGACCTATAATTCCGGAGTCTGGTCCACTCTGACCTCAGCAAGCTACTTCCTTTTCTTGCATTCTCAGGATTATGGAGCTCTCTACTGGCTGGATGGTGAACTGGAGTGCCCTGCCCTGCACTCTCCACCTCAGCCAGGGTGGAGGTAAAGTAGGAACCCAGTTATCAGCTAGCAGGTTCATCACGAATATTAAAGAGAAACAAAATGTCACCTTCACAAACCTTCATGATGAATGCTTCTTGCTGGTGTCTATGTAATTCTATTTCTAAGCGAGGCAAATGTCTTTTAAAGTGTGGAGGGGCCAACATTGTAGCCTTGCAGTGAGTGCTTAATGCCACTACATGCTGGGAGAAGACCACAGATACAAGACTCGATTTATCCCTGGATTAGTTTAGTTTTATGCTGGTGTTTTCAGCTCCACTGTTTTTTTGGAAGGGAGGAAGCACCATGAATTGCCCCACAACAATCTTCCTGACTGCTCTAGGAGCAGCACTGATGTACTCTGAAGGAAGTCCCCTCCAACCTCTTTGAGCAAAGGAAAGCTGCTCTGACAGGGGCATTTGAAGGATTGGAAGGTGGAGAATTGGCAGGAATAGGGAATGTGATGGAATAAGCGATCTTCCCTAGAAAACCAACCATAAAAAAAATGGAATTCTTCACTTCTTTTTCTATTCTGTTGTGTAATGTTGTTGTTGGCTGGTAGACATCTGCTGCATTCCACATTAGAGATGGCTGCCTTTTTGTGATGAACCTATAGAATCCTTCTAGATGAATAGTTGTCATCTTTATTTTAAATTTTTTTTTAGTAGAGTTCACTAATTATAAAATAAAACTGAAATCTACTATTCAAAAATAATAACATCAATTGCTTTAAAAAGGAAACATTTTTCTTTAAAACTTACAAAATAAACCATTTCCCATTTCTTTATAAAGTACTTTAGGTATTATCAGCAGACCATACTACTAATTAATATTGTTCCTCAGGTGAGAGTAGCACTGACTAAGAGTGTCATGAGGCGAGAAAGCTCCCTTGATATCCTGAGAGCACCCTGCTAAAGTGGCACCAGAAATGTGGATGCGGCCATTGACAAAGTTGTGTTGATGTGTGTCTTTTTTTTTTAAGCATTGATATTTTTCTAACTTTCTTTGCAGGCTGGAGTTAAATCATGAACTTTCTAAACTTTTCAGTGAGCTATGGGATGCAGATGTTAATCGCTTTGTGCCCGGGAAAGATTATACAATTGACTTACAGGTAATTTAGCTACTAAATATCATGAGGAGTGAGGATAGGATGAATCTATATGAAGTAGCGGGAGTAGCAGCACAGAGGGTGTAGCTCCCAGAACTGCACACGATATTCCAGCGGAGGCCTCACCCAGCGCCAAGTAGAAATGGACCAATTGCCTCCCGTGTCTTACATACAACACTCCCATTAATACATGCCAGATTGACTTTTGCCTTTGTCGCAACTGCATCTCACTTTTGACTCATTCAATTTGTGATCCACTATAAACTCCAAATCTTTCTCTTCAGTACTGCTACCCATATAGTTATTCCCCATTTTGTATTTGTGCATTAGATTTTTCCATCCTAAGTGTAGTACTTAGTGCATATCTTTATTGAATCTCATGCTTTTGATTTCAGACCATTTCTCCAGTTTGTCAAAATCATTTTCAATTCTAATCCTGTCCTCCAAAGTACTTGCAAATCCTCCCAGCTTGGTGTCATTCACAAATTTTATAAGCAAGCTTTCCATTCCATCATCCAAGTCATTGATAAAAATATTGAATAGCACCATACCTAAGACAGACCCCTCTGGGTTCCTACTTGATGTGTTTTCCCTGTTTTACATCGAATCATTGATGACTCTTTGAGTATGGCCTTTCAAGCACCCACCTTATAGTAATTTCATTTAGACCATATTTACCTAATTTGTGCCTGAGAATGTCATGTTGGACTGTGTCAGAAGTCTTACTAAAGTCCAAATATACCACATCTATTGCTTCCCTGCTGCGCACTAAGCTGATAATGAGTGTGAGTGACTCAGGGTACGTCTACACTGCAATAAAAAACCTGCAGCACCAAGTCTCAGAGCCTGGGGAAATTGAATCAGGCTCACAGGACTTGAGTTGTGGGGCTAAAAATTACAGTGTAGACGTTCGGGCTCGGGCTGGAGCCTGAGCTCTGAGACCCAATCTGCTCATGAGGTTTCAGAGTCAATAGTTAAACACTTTTTTTCTGGCAGATATTCAGCCAGGGGTAATTTACTGATATTTAGCTGGCACAAAGCATTTAGAGAAGTATCTGCTTGCTCTGGTAACACTGTTTCTTGTTCAAAATCCATGTATAGATTAAATGTACTAGTCATCTAACATTATCGCATCAAAATGTTCTGCTTTTCTAACAGGATCCTTTAGGAAAGTTTCGCAGTTCACATGTGTAAATCGGCTCAGAACTCAGCAGCATAAAACATAAAACATATTCCACTAAACAGAATTTTTTGTTGATGCCACATTTGCGGGAATTATTCTGAATACTGTTGCTGTTATAAATTATATACACTGGGCTCAATTCTGCCCTCATGAAACCCCACTCCCTTTGAGGGGGTTGCACAGTCAGGGCACAATGTAGCTCACTTTGATTTTTTTTCTTTTCTTCCTACGGAGTTAACAAGATTTGTCAGATTTCTTCCTCTTATGTAATGCCTGCCTTCTCTAACAGAGACCATGTGGGGAAGTGCCAGTTCAGTTGTTAATGCTTTTGAATTTTTTCAATACCAGGTAAATCAAATGTTATGAGAATGAGGAAAGGAACGTATTTTGTGATGCCTGAAATTAGCTAACTGCATAATGTAGCAATGGGGGCCGATGAAATCTAGCAGTAACACGTTGCTTATGAATGCAATATGTTTTTAGCTTGGTAGATGTCTTCATTTAGCACATCTAAGGCCAAATTCTGCTTTCAGTACCACCCTGAAATAAGTAGAGTAGTTCTGGATTTATGCCATGTAATTAACATCCGAATTCAAAAATGTTGAGTACCCAACAGCTTCCATTGGCTTCAAAATTAGACCCCCCTAAATCCATACTTGGGCGCTTGTCTCATTTTCAGAAGCTTCAGTGGGAGCTGTTTGGAGCACTGTTGAAAATCAGGTAGGTCTCTATATAGGGATTTTAAGCTCCTGCTTTTGAAAGTCTGGCCAGAAGGGTTATTCTGTAACAAATCTGTCTCTTTATCAGATATTCATCTGAGTTTCATTGTATTTCCATATATATCTATGATCTGGGTTGGTCCCTGCAAAATGTTCCAGAATCATGTGACTATTAAATAGCTATCTGCTAAAGAAGCAGATCTAAAGGGAATTTGGTCTCATGGTTAGAGCAAGTGATAAGAAGCCAAGTAAAAATGTTGAACATCATGGATGCCACAGGTCCTTGAGGAATTCTGTATTCCATATTCCTCGGTGATAGCATACAATTTCCTGTTTAGAGGTCAGTTTCTCTCACCCCAGCAACACCCCTTAGTCACTGGGGCCCCAATCCTGCTCCCACTGAAGTCAGTGACAAAATTCCATTGATTTTAATACTGTAGGATCAGGTCCCAAAGCAACCACCCGTAATGAGTTGCATGAAAAGCTGCTGAAGTGTCCCACCTAACTAAAATGTTGAACTTAGCCAATCTAAAACAAGCAGGAGATCTTTCATGACCTTAATAAGCATACCCTGACATCCAAAAAAGGACACAAACCAAGCATCGGACCTAACCTTGATGTCATTGGTATCCAAATGATCTTGGAATTGAACAACCACTGCCTTCTCAGGTATCTAACCAAAAAAGAAAAGGGTAAAAACTAGACCTCAATTGGCAAACACTCCAGCACCAGGAGGTGAAATCAATGAACTAGTACAGCAAATCAGTCAAGCCAGTTGATTTCAGTAGGACTATTCATAGAGCCCTGCAAAGCTACCGATATCTGCTTTATATCTGCGGATATCTGTATCCGTGGACCATGTTTGCAGTCAGATCGCAGATGGATGCAGATCCAAACTTTATATCTAGAGCCCTGCAAATCTGCGGATATCCACAGAACATGTCTGCAGATCTCCGATCGGCTGCAGATACAAATTTTGTATCCGTGCAGGGCTTTATTCGCAAGCTAAAATTTATGAATGTGATTAAATGCTTTGCTGGATTGAGGCCAGAGTGCTTATTATTGTTTGTAATTATTATTATAATAATATTTATTAGTTTTACTAAAGAAATCCACTGTGCTAGTGCTCAAAAGACAACTAGCTATTGAATTAATATTCAAGTGAGAAGTAAACTAACACAATAATTCGTAAGTATCAGCGGGGTAGCCGTGTTAGTCTGGACCTGCAAAAGCGGCAAAGAGTCCTGTGGCACCTTATAAACTAACAGATGTATTGGAGCATAAGCTTTCGTGCATGCACCTGATGAAGTGGGTATTCGCCCACGAAAGCTTATGCCACAATAATTTTTAGTAAGCTAGAAAATATTCCGTAGTATATTCTGTAAAAGTAATGAAATCTTAGTAGTAGCAGACCTCTCTAGAGTGAGTCTGAGCTTATATTTTGATCATAAAGTGGGAAGAGATGGGTGTGTGTGTGTATAAGTTATGAGGGCATGGACTGGCAAAGCACAAAGTAGTGAGGTTCTCCTGTCTAGCAGAATTCTACCGTATACAGCGAGAAGAAATAGTTAACACAATGGCTGGTGAAACCACGACCTCTTCAGAGCATTTTATAATGCACGGCAGGCAGGAAAACAGATAACTCTCACAGCATCCATTCAGAATGACAGTTCTGTTCTTCAGCTAGCTGACATGCACTTGGAGTAAGAGCAACGACTTCCAGCAACTGAAATATATAGGAAGGCAAGTTGGCAAGTGTCAAATAAAAAATATTAGAGGAGTATTTTTTTAAATAAAGCTTAAGTCTCAAAAGTTTTGTGCAAATTGTTTTCTGTTTTCTTCTAAAGATATTGATTTATCTGATTTCTGTTGTCCATGAATACTAAAATTTATTAGTGTTATAATTTATTAACACCAAGTGCTAAGTCTAGACTCCTCCCTTTGCAGGGGAACTGGTGCCGTTCTGCTTTGTGATGGAGCAGGGAACTCAATGTGGGAGGCCCTGCAGGGGATGTGCACCCCTATTCAGTGTGGAACGCAGCAGCACATGGGAGTGCCCCATATGGGTGGGCTAGGGGCAGCTGGAAGTGGGGCTAGAGGATCAGTTGCTATGTTCTTCCTCCTTTCCTTTGCACTAGGGGTTTGGGTATGTACACACCAGCTCCACAGTGCATCTACCCAGTGCTTGGCCTGGATGCTACACTCGGGATTTGAATCTAAGAGAAGAATTTCTACTCAGAAAACTTAAATCTCTTGTTGAAACAGGGCTGACTTTCAAAAACACAAAGGACAGTTAAGTGCCCAACAGTCAGTGTGGGTTGGGTGCCTGGCTGTCCTTTATAGCTTTGACAATCTCCCCTTCTGGGCCTGATTCCACAATTCTAATGTAGGCACCAATTCCCCTGAAGTCAATGGGAGTTTTGCTTGTGCAAGGAGAGTAACATCAGACCCACATTGTGTTATATAAATAATAGGCAATCAAGTGGAGCAGAGGTGTCCTTGGTTATTCACTATTGCGATGCCCCCAATGAGCTATCACTGTTAACCCTGAGAAAGAGGCAACAGGACCCTTTCAAACACTTACAATGACAAAAAAGAGTATTTTTTTCTCTCTGCTTGATGTTGTGATTTATTATATAACTATCTCTATTGTTTTGTAGTATAATAAACAGTTTTAATAACAGTTAACTTCTTGCTGTGCTTTGATTACTACTCGGAGAGGGATTATCCCCTTTAAATACATTTTGCATCCTTCATTGTTTTGTTCTGATGCTTCTCATAGGAAAAAGCAGGCTTTGTACAGCAGGGCAGCAGCATTGCAAGGGACAGTGCATCTGAACCTCTGTTTCGCTACGTAAATGAAGAGCGTCTGAAGAGCACAAAAACTTTTGCAGGTGAGATCTTCCTGTGATTTGTTCTTCAGTAATTGTGCATCCTTTCTTCTCGTTGTCGTTTTGGTAACATGGGAAATGGAATGATGAATCTGCATTATTTTTTTTAAATGTAGACTTAAAATGTAGCATTATGTACAGCTTGAATGGTCAGACAATTTGGAACTGAAGATCGTCATGCAGTACGTCATTTGAAAGGTAATTTCCCATAGATTTGCAATCAGATCTTGGAGTTTACCTGTGGCCTCTATTTCAGAAAGTACACTGATCTCCAGAAATACGCAGGTAAACAAATGTACACATTTTTGGTAAGATTGGCTAGAATTATATGTATTTGCAAGAATAAACTCAATCAGCAGAACCCAGCAACTTTTAAAATTTAACTTGTTTACACTTAATACTTTCATTGCTCAGACGGTTGGCTACACTGGTATTAAAATAGAGTGCTAACTACAAACAGTACCTTTATTTCAAACAAACGTCGCTGAGCAGTATTCTGATATCTATTACACCTGTGAGGCAATGCCAATAAAATCAATAGAGGCAATGTCTCTGTATATACACAGCCATGTAACTCAGAACAGAATTTGGCTTTATGCCTATTAAATGGCAGTTCCAGAAACTGCTATTCCAATTTATTACTTATTCCTTGGTGCCTCTAGAAACTAATTAATTGGTCGTAATATTATTTCTCATATTGCAGCCATTCAGGTTCACACTGACTCCTTTTCTGCCTGGAGGATGTTTTCTGGCATTACTACTTCTACTGTGGAACAAGGACCTATTATTCACACAGATCTTTTTTTGTCAGGATTAGCACCCACTCCAGGGTTGGGCTCACCTGGGGATGGACAAACTTTAGATTGTTGAGTAGCAATGCCTACTGGGCCTAAAACCCCTGATCAGAGCAAAGATGCAATGACAGAGTGATTAGTGGAGCTTCACCAGAACACTGCTATTTATATATCTGCTAGATAGAATACCAGAACTGATCTTTTTTTTGTGATTCTGTTGCCATCTAGAGGCCAAACTACAAAGGTGATTTTGGTCTACACACTGTTGAACATCTATACCAGGTGCCCTGCTGAATGGCATCTTTCTTTGCAGCTTTTGTTTCCCTATTGGACAACTATGAAACGTCAACTGGTGTAGCAGAAGTTGTGACCCCACAAGAAATGGCTGAAAACAATCGTTTTCTTGATGCTATCTTAGAAACAGAAGTAATGAAAGTGAGTACAGCAGCTCTTCATGCTTTATCACTTGCCACAGTTAACTGTAAATTAAACTAATTATATTTCCTTGTTTTCGATCCTCCAGCTTACTCATCAATATTTAGTTAGAAAAAATTGGTCAAAACCCAGTCTTAACGACTTCAAGTCTCAGCTCTATGACATCTGGTTTCAGCTATACACCAGGGAAACAGGAAAGGGGTATGTATGGTCAATATGGATCCTAGTAGTAATCATATTTAATAGGACGTAAGAAATAAGTCTTACATGTATGTCATACAGACATAACCACAAAAAATGGAGAAGGTTATGTAATGTATTAATTGGGCGAAAGTAATTTTTAATGTCCCACTGTTTCTGTAATAGACTGTCCTGGCTTGTCAAAGAGTATTTATTTTATTTTTCGATGACTGAATGATTATTAGGTACATAGTCCTTTTTATGAAAACAGATGCATTTGAGGGACAAAAAGCAATTTACAGATAAATGTCAATTTATAATGGAAAAGACAAATAGTCTGGTCCATTGGTTTTTTTGTTTGTTTGTTTGTTTTTTACTGGTAGTTATTCCTTTAACATTAAATAGCAACTTAGATTTCATGACCAGATCTTTATTTTAAGTTCCACAAAAAAGAAAAACAAAACATTCAGAACAGGAAAGTTAATGGATAACTCTTAGCAAGTGCCAGTTTTGTTCATTTTCTGGCCGTTAATCCAGCAAATTAAATTTTTTAGCTAATTATTATTATGCTGATTTTATTGTAGGCCTGATTCCTCTGGATTTGAACACGTGTTTGTCGGAGAAACAAAACATGGAAAAGAGATTCTGGGTTTGCATAACTGGGTACAATTTTACCTTCAGGAAAAGCATAAACAAATTGACTACAAAGGCTATGTTGCCAGGAGGAAAAAGAGCAGGGTAAGAGAGACTTAGGGTTGTCTGTTTGTATGTGTACAGTTTATAGATAAGGTGAGTAAATCTACTCAGGATGTCTCTGGTAATGAGTCCAGGGCATGATGGTGTTGGGGGAGACAGATTATTTTTATTTTTGCTGTGGATTTTGTCTGCTATTAAAGCTCAATGCCCATCTAATTTTTAATTCCCCACTGAGACCCTAAAATTCTCTCGGGCCACCTTTTCCCCAATACCTCTTGTAGACAGAGGGGATTAATAATCCTCTAGTGGTTAGTGTCTTCATTGACTTTACCATGCTGGACCCAAGACATTGGGCCTGATATTGAAAGGTGCAGAGTGTATTCAACCACAAAAATCCCTTGGAAATTCCTCTGCCTTTCATACGACATTTGACAGAACCCCGTATGTTTGCTGCCTTTCTGCTAAGCCCCTATGCACTAAGTTTCAAAGGGCCCAATTCTGGGAGCTGATGAACTCTGTTAGGATAATGGGTTCAGACAAGTATGTCCAGAAAAGCAGCATAATTCTGTCATTCACATGATTTATCAAGGTTAAAGAATGGGACTGGGGCTTTTTGTTACTTTCTTGGTCTGAGATCTTGGGACTTAGGGTCTGATCCAATACCCATTGAAGTCATTGGAAGACTCCTATTGACTTCAGTGGGCTTTGGATCAGGCACTTAAACATTGTGTACTGTAGTTTCCCCATCTGTAACACAATGCCAAAAATACCTAGCTTATAGTGGTGTTGTGAGGCTTAATTAAAGGGACACTGACAACTTAATCTGCTGAGTTTCAAAAAAATGTGAATTAAAAATAGTTTTGGCCTTGGAGAACCCCCTGCCAATTGTTTGGTTTAACAATCGTTTTCCGATTTAAAAAAAATGATTTCTCTGCACTATGGCTGTGTGAAGTGCCTGTACAGACAGGGGATGCTGACCTGACTGAACAGAGGGAACAGTGAAAATGACTGTTTTTCAAACTGCTAGCTAATGCACAAAGGGAACATACAGAACATATAGAGAAAATAATTCTCTCAAAAATAATCATCGTAGGTGTTACTTGTAACAATAGTAGGTTAAAATAATCAAGCAGGTATCAACTTGAAGTTAACAGTGCCCCTTAAATGCAGGCTATGTACTTTGAGAGCTGTGAGTGAGAGGTGCTATAGAACAGTGGTTCTCAACCACGGGTACGCATGCCCCTGTGGGTACACAGAGGTCTTCCAGAGGGTACATCAACTTATCTAGATATTTGCCTCGTTTTACAACAGGTGACATAAAAAGCACTAGCGAAGTCAGTACAAGCTATAATTTCATACAGACAATGACTTGTTTATATTGCTGTATATCCTATACACTGAAATATAAGTACAACATTTATATTCCAATTGGTTTATTTTATAATTATATGGTAAAAATGAGAAAGTCAGCAAGTTTTCAGTAACTACTTTTTAAAGTAGTTTTTAGGTGAGGTGTAACTTGGGGGTACGCAAGACAAATCAGACTCCTGAAAGGGGTAGAGTAGTCTGGAAAGTTTGAGAGCCACTGCTATAGAAGTGTTTCAGGGTAGCAGCCGTGTTAGTCTGTATCCGCAAAAATAAAAGGAGGACTTGTGGCACCTTAGAGACTAACACATTTATTTGAGCATAAGCTTTCATGAGCTACAGCGCACTTCATCAGATGCATGCAGTGGAAAATACAGTGTGGAGATTTATATACACAGAGAACATGAAACAATGGGTGTTACCATACACGCTGTAACAAGAGTGATCAGGTCAGATGAGCTATTACCAGCAGGAGAGCGGAGGTGGCAGGGGGGGAGAAACCTTTTGTAGTGATAATCAAGGTGGGCCATTTCCAGCAGTTGACAAGAACATGTGAGGAACAGTGTGGGGGGGGTGGGGAATAGTTTTACTTTGTGTAATGACACATCCGCTCCCAGTCTTTATTCAAACCTAAGTTAATTGTATCCAGTTTGCAAATTAATTCCAATTCAGCAGTCTCTCGTTGGAGTCTGTTTCTGAAGGTTTTTTGTTGAAGAATTGCCACTTTTAGGTCTGTAATCGAGTGACCCAAAAGATTGAAGTGTTCTCCAACTGGGGTTTTTGAATGTTATAATTCTTGACGTCTGATTTGTGTCCATTTATTCTTTTACGTAGAGACTGTCCAGTTTGGCCAGTGTACATGGCAGAGGGGCATTGCTGGCACATGATGGCATATATCACATTGGTAGATGTGCAGGTGAATGAGCCTCTGATAGTGAGGCTGATGTGATTAGGCCCTATGATGGTGTCCCCTGAATAGATATGTGGACACAGTTGGCAGTGGGCTTTGTTGCAAGGATAGGTTCCTGGGTTAGTGGTTTTGTTGTGTGGTATGTGGTTGCTGGTGAGTATTTGCTTCAGGTTGGGGGGCTGTCTGTAAGCAAGGACTGGCCTGTCTCCCAAGGTCTGTCAGCGTGATGGGTTGTCCTTCAGGATAGGTTGTAGAGCCTTGATGATGCATTGGAGAGGTTTTAGTTGGGGGCTGAAGGTGATGGCTAGTGGCGTTCTGTTATTTTCTTTGTTGGGCCTGTCCTGTAGTAGGTGACTTCTGGGTACTCTTCTGGCTCTGTCAGTCTGTTTCTTCACTTCAGCAGGTGGGTACTGTAGTTGTAAGAACGCTTGATAGAGATCTTGTAGGTGTTTGTCTCTGTCTGAGGGATTGGAGCAAATGCGGTTGTATCGTAAAGCTTGGCTGTAGATAATGGATCGTGTGGTGTGGTCTGGATGAAAGCTGGAGGCATGTAGGTAGGCATAGTGGTCAGTAGGTTTCCGGTATAGGGTGGTGTTTATGTGACCATCGCTTATTAGCACAGTAGTGTCCAGGAAGTGGATCTCTTGTGTGGACTGGTTCAGGCTGAGGTTGATGGTGGGATGGAAATTGTTGAAATCAGGGTGGAATTCCTCAAGGGCTTCTTTTCCGTGGGTCCAGATGATGAAGATGTCATCAATGTAGCGCAAGTAGAGTAGGGGCATTAGGGGACGAGAGCTAAGGAAGCGTTGTTCTAAGTCAGCCATAAAAATGTTGGCATACTGTGGGGCCGTGCGGGTACCCGCTGATTTGAAGGTATACATTGTCCCCAAATGTGAAATAGTTATGGGTGAGGACAAAGTCACATAGTTCAGCCACCAGGTTTGCTGTGACATTATCGGGGATACTGTTCCTGATGGCTTGTAGTCCATCTTTATGTGGAATGTTGGTGTAGAGGGTTTCTACATCCATAGTGGCTAGGATGGTGTTTTCAGGAAGATCACCGATGGATTGTAGTTTCCTCAGGAAGTCAGTGATGTCTCGAAGATAGCTGGGAGTGCTGGTAGCGTAGGGCCTGAGGAGGGAGTCTACATAGCCAGACAATCCTGCTGTCAGGGTGCCAATGCCTGAGATGATGGGGCGTCCAGGATCTCCAGGTTTATGAATCTTGGGTAGCAGATAGAATACCCCTGGTCGGGGTTCTAGGGGTGTGTCTGTGCCAATTTGTTCTTGTGCTTTTTCAGGGAGTTTGAGCAGATGGTGTAGTTTCCTTTGGTAACCATCAGTGGGATCAGAGGGTAATGGCTTGTAGAAAGAGCTGCCAAGCAGCCTCTTGTTCATATTCCGACCTATTCATGATGACGACAGCACCTCCTTTGTCAGCCTTTTTGATTATGATGTCAGAGTTGTTTCTGAGGCTGTGGATGGCATTGTGTTCTGCACGGCTGAGGTTATGGGGCACGTGATGCTGCTTTTCCACAATATCAGCCCATGCACGTTGGTGGAAGCACTCTATGTAGAAGTCCAGTCTGTTGTTTCGACCTTCAGGAGGAGTCCACCCAGAATCCTTCTTTTTGTAGTCTTGGTAGGAAGGTCTCTGTGGGTTAGTATGTTGTTCAGAGGTGTGTTGGAAATATTCCTTGAGTCGGAGACATCGAAAATAGGATTCTAGGTCATCCCAGAACTGTATAGAAGTGCTGTACATAGTTCTATTTTGTTTTCACAATGGTGCAGTTTTCATTTGTGCCTATAGATGTCACCTTTCAACCATAAAGGAGGCCATAATTTTAGACACTGATGCAAAGGATACTGACAGAGATGTCACTTGACTGTGCTAGTTAGGGCTATGCAGTAAGGGCTTTTAGGCACCCCTCTAAGGGGCTTAGGAATCCATCTCACACTGAATTTCAGTGGGAGTTGGGTGACTCACTTCTTAGACTCCTTTGAAAATCCCAGCTACAATTGAATTGAAATGGAATTCTACCAAAATATAGGATATTTCTGAGCATGCCACAAGCACCATCCTTTTTCTTACTGCCCTCATGAAATAGGAGACCACACTCCTCAGCCACTTGGATACTTACAGTGATGAGTGCTATAGGAAAACTTAAGGAAATATAAATTGGCATAAATATTTAATGCCATTTACTTCAGTAGTACAGGATTGGCTTAGGATACTATTCTAGTTCTTAGGAAAGACAAACCTGCTGCCTGAGTTCTTGACCCATAAACAACAGGAGCGTCTAAGATTCTAAAGAAGAGTTAATGTGAGATCCAGGGCTGTGTAACCCCCTATAATGGCTCTGTTTTACCTCCCACATTTTACATATACACAACTGATACAAGCACTATAGCTGCTCAGAAGTAGAGTCTCCCACATTTGTATTTGCAGAATAACCCTGAATGTGAAAATGTGTCTGTCTGGTCATATTCAGTATTCAGGGATTTTCATGTCTTTTATTTTTGGTTACAGTCTGATGAGGATGATCAAGTTCTGAGTCTACAGTTCAGCTGGAAAGGTCTAGTAAAACCTGTGGGAAGCACCTTTATTGGTGTCAGTCCCGAGTTTGAATTTGCCCTCTATACAATCATTTTTCTGCAGTCTCAGGAAAAGGTCACTCGTGAGATGGTGCAGATAGAGGAGTATGAACTACAGATAGTTGTGTATCGCCATGGTAAATACATTGGAACAGCATATCCTGTCCTCCTTAGCAGCAACAATGAAGATTTGTATTGAAAAGGATCAAGCTAACCTGAAGTTCTTTCTGAGTTTAATTGTAATTTTGTATAATTTTAAATGGTCTGTTTGGAATAATATCCTTTTGTTCTGTATTAAGATGCTTAACCTAAGCTGTGCCTTTTAAAGAAATGTTCAGTGCCTGTCCAGGCTTTGAAATCCCTTTTATCACTGTAGCCAAGGATGAAAGAAATTGTACTAAAGTGCCATCATAAAGCTGTACTTTAACTTCCTGACCAGATATCAGTTTTTTAAACTAGGCCCGATTAAAATGGAAATAGGGGTTTTGTTTGTTAACTACTGCACACCTAGAAAGACTGATCAAACCATATAAAATACGGACCAGAATATCCCATAATAAATGTATCTTGTGGCATTAGTGTTGAAATTAAGCCCTCTGTTATGACAGTGTAAAACAATACTGTATAGCTATATTTTGTGTTTCCGTCTTCAGTTATAGGCTGAGAAAAGGATTTCTGCCAATGGCAATCTAGACAATTATGACATTATCCCTCCCCTTCGCAACCAGCACAAGCCTTATGGACACAGAAGGACTTCCTGGAATGAAAGTCAGTGTAGCACTTATCACACTACATCCAATCACTCTTCTGCAGGCCAGGCCACATCGTAAAACAATGATTCATGAAGACTAGCAGGAAGCCAGAATAACTTGCTTTCCTGAAGCCTGAGCTCTGAGGAGACAGCAAAGTAATCTGCCTCTGTCAACCCCCAAAACCTACTAAACTCCCCCCAAAACAGAGCAGAATGTGGCAGGGGATGGATTCTCCAAAAACAATCAAAAAATCAGTAGCATACAGTAAGAGACATTAGGTAAGGAAAAAATACACTCGTGTCACTTGGGATAGAAATCCAAATCTCAGCTGTACAAGAGGATTCTCCTGAGGTAGTAACTACAAATAACATGCTGAAAAACTCTCGGCAGACAGTGAAACTCAGGAAAAGGAAGAGAGGCAAAGACAAAAGACTCTAGAGACCCTGCTAGCAATGGCAGAAGTGAAGCTGAACAAGAGAATTCAGATATCTGGGAGTAAACTAAAGATTAACTAAAAGAGATTTCTTGGAAGTCACCAGGAATGAATAGTTAGCAGTAACTATGTTAATGTTATAAAGAAAATAGTTTGCTTTAACTGGGGAGATCATAACTCTATGATAGCATGTTCTCTATTTTAAAAAGTAGCGAAGACAATAAGAGGGAATGGATTGTTAGGGAGATCCCTAACAGGGGGCGGAGGAACCTGGAGAAAATAGAGAGGAGTTTGGAGGAACCTTTAAGAGTTCTGTGTAAATCCTCCCCATGTAACTCTAATAAGTGGATGGTAATCTATCCCTAATGGTGTGGGTTAAGGTCCCATAGGACGAGAATGTACCTTCTTTGGATTGAAAGAGAAGCAGTACAAGTGTTCATGGGAAGAGTAGAGGGATTTGGTATTAGCAAAGGGATTTGGGTACTCCTTAACATGCTGTGTTGGTGTTTTGTGTGTGGATTTAAAGTAAGAGGAATGAAGGAGAGGGGAGGGAACTGATGAGACAGTGGGGAATTACTACAAGAAATAGGTAGGGAGTTTACAAAACAGAAACCAAGGTACACACTTGCAAACACAGAGTGATAGGAAATGAGACATTGGCCACATAAGTGGTCATGCCATCGAACAGCAATCAAGAATTATCATAATTTCACATTTTCAGTAAGCTAAATAGTTATTCTCAAAATCTCGTCCTTTCAAAGTAATATCTTTGAATATCAAAGGGCTAACTACTGTCATTAAAAGTACAAAACACGCTCAGATTATTCTACTTTGAGAAAGTTAGTTTCAGAAGGGAATTAAAAATAGAAATATGAATAGAAAGATCTGACTATATTCTAGTATAATGTCTCTTTAAATCAATGCTCACGGTTGTAATGATTGTTGTGTTTCTGATATTTACATAGCAAGGATTTGTAAATCTATTAATATTTCCTAATTAAATAAATAGTATTAAAAATGATTCACCTCTTAGGCCAGTCATAGTAACACCGAAACACCTCTCCCCCCTGGCCCCCCCCCTTTCTGTTCCTTTAACCAACATCTGCTTTTTAAGTCCTTTTCCAAGCCATTTATCTGGTCACTGTATCCCTGCCCTATGGAGTACCCACACTGGGCATCCGCCCCACATAGTGAGTGTCGGCTCCATAGCCTAACACCCTTCCCTCCTCACCATAACAAAGCCCTCCCCAATCTCACTGTGGGGAAGATGGAAAAAAAACCCACGCCGCCTAGGCCGATCTGGTGGTGAGGGAAAAATTCCTTCCCAGCCCCCCCTAGAAAGGAACAGTTAGCGCGATGCCCAGAGCAGAGCCTGGCCAAACCTGGTATTTTGGCACCTCAAGGAGCAGGAGGCTGGCTGCTGCTCTGCCTGCTCCCAGGAAAAGGGGCTTCGCTTGATGGGCTTTCCCCTTTTGAACTCCCGCACCCGTCTGGTCCCTGGGGATGAATCAGCTTTGCCAAGCTGACCCACTTCCCCTTTTGCAGCTTCTGAGCCTCGCTCACCCTCCTGGCCATAAAGCACTATTCTCTCTTCCCAGGCAAGCTGGACAACACCTCCCCCCCCCCCCCGCTTAAAGGTGCAGTGCAGTCATTAGCTTTTAACTGAATCAGAGGGATGCATGTATAATACTGAATCACCCCAGCCTCCCCCCGTGCACTTTATAAGGCCCAGGTGCCTTCCCTTAAGACCAATTGGGCATCAAGTAATCAGTCCAGGTTGCGCTGCCTTCCCCCCCCCCACACACACACTCTTAAAGGGGCCTCTTAAAAGGGCCATCCATGTGTTAATAAAGGCCTCTTCATAATTTTAACTAAATGAAATTCTAATGTAGTTTAAAATATGTTTGTTATTTAATATTTCTTATTGCTACACTGGGCTCCTCAGGCCTGGCTTCTTCTCAGTGGGGCTCAGATGTCTTGCTGGGCTCCTTGGGCCTGGCTCCTTTTTGTTTGGGGAAAAAAATAAGGGTCCAAGCTCTCCCATCAACAGCACCAAACTGAACGGGCACACAGAGCAGACTGTGCAGCTTGTCATACCATGTTATTTTTCCCTCCTGTCTTACATACTCTGATGAGTAGTCAATTAACTGGGGTCCTTCTTCGTGCCAGGGCTAAAATGTCCTGTGGGCTCTGCGTGGCGATGAAATTGTGTATTGTCTCCACAGGCAGCTGTACCCTTGGAACAGCTATCCTAATTAATCGTTGTTGCCTTTGGGCACAATGGCACCTTAGAAGAGAACTGCTCAAAAAGCCCCTTCAGTGTTCAACTTTATTGATATTAATTCTAGGCTGCTGGAGGTGGATGGTGAGCAGGTAGCAGCTATGCTACTCCATTGAGGCTGGGAGCTGTGTGAGCCAGAACAATGTACTAGGTGCAGATGGCAGGTAAACACATGAAAGATTGCATGCTGTTAATCACGCATCAGGTGCTCGCACAGGGCTATGCTATCATTGCCTGTAGCCTGTCTTCCAACCAGGAATGCACTGATCATTAAAATGGAAACCCGAGAGCAGAAATATGCTTTGCTAAGCCTTTGTTGGCCAGGACTGTGAGGGAGGAGGGTTCTTGACAATTGAGTTAAATAACAGACAAAGGGTCTTATTTAATTCTTGGTGACTATGGACACCAGGCAGGTATCACCCGCTTGATCAACACACCCTTATGCAAAAGAGACTTTCTTAGATGTGATCCCATCAGATGGGCTCCCACATGGTGCTTCTGAGCTCACAAGGCTTAATGATCAACACACGCCACTACACACCCCTACATGGACACTGCTTGTTGAATAGTTGACAGAGCACAGCCATCGAGGGGCTCTTGATTTGTACACATCTGACTTGTGCCCAGATAGTGTTTTCTCCCCAAGAAATATGAGATTTTTAAGAAAAGCTACCTGCAATATCATGCTTCCACAATTCCAAGATGGAAATGTTGCCTGTGGCGATCATTAGGTAGTTTGTTTAAGAGATTATCTTTTGAACACTCTTTAACATTCCACTCTAAACATTCTGCAAAAAATTGACCTGCTTGTGCAGCATTTAAAAAAAATAAGGAACAAAGACTCTCTCCTGTCCAGACCCATTCCAAACATATTTCACCATTGCCTCTGGCAGTGAATTTCCTAACCGTGTTTCTCAATAACTCCATCCTGTACACCACCATCGCATAAAACAATTGTTGGCTGGCTTTTTGTTCTCTCTGACGGGATCAAAGTAATCACACGTAGACTGTCAAAATTTTAGATCGATAGAAAGTTTATTTAAAGCAAAGCTCTATGAGCAAAAACAAAAATCACATTTAAAAAATGTAAGTCATACTAAGCCAAGGAGGTCTGTGAAAGAATTATTGCTTTTTATGGAAAAAAATTCTAAAAAATTTATTTGCTGAGTTTTCACTGTAATAAGATGAAAAAGCTGCTTCCTTTTTTTCTTTATTGCAGTATGGTGAATTTTAACAAATTAAATTTTCATTAAATCAAAAAGGTTTTATACTAATTGTGGTAGCAAGTTTTTCATTTGTTTGACACCTAATATCAGATGTTTCTGTGAAAGCTTCAATTAAAGTCCTGGTTCTTTTTTACATTGGCCAGTCTGTGAAATTCTTGATTTAAGTAACATCATATGTCACTTGTTTCAGGACAACTCCAGATTCAAGTATCTTTTTATGAATAGCTGTAAAATATATTCAAAAGGAACTTGCATCAATTCACACCAGCTAAGGATTCTATTATTCATAAAATAAACGGTAGTTTGCATTGTAGTAATGGGGACATTTTAAACAACTTGTAGGAATGCTTGTGTTCTCTCTCTTTTCGCTTGTGTTGTATAATGTGGTGTTGTACAAGAGAGCTTGAAATGTCGTTCTTGCACAATAACTTCTCCCTCTAATGTCAAACTGAAACTCTAAAGTCAGATACAAATGCATTTATTTTCAAATACAAAGAAGTTAAAAAGTAGCCTCTGTTTATATTCAGCTCAGCTGCTATTTGTTGCAGCAGAATAAGAAAGTGTAAAACAGAGTAAAAAATGACTAATCATCTCGTTTGGCTATGTAGCTGTTGTGGGGGGCCTACTTCCTCAGCTGGCATACTCTTAATGCTCCATACAAGAGAAACATTCCAATAAAATGAAATTTGAGTCAGCAGCTCCAGGCCTCTGCTCGCAACCCTTGGCTGCTTACTAAAAGCACATTTAAAAAAAAATCTCTGAAAAAAAAAATGATAAATTGTCGTTTCAACATTTTCAAATGATTTTTTCATTTGGTTCATCTTTTCATTTAGAATTTTACTGCGATTTAATTTTTTTTTTTTAAATGTAGAGTCATCAAGTTGTAGAATTTAAGGCCAGAAGGGACCTCCAGTGCCTCTAGGCTGACCTGTGTAACACAGGCCACCAACACCACTAAACTCAACAACATCTATGCCAAACCCAACAACCGAAATTAGACCAAGGGATTACAGCCCATAGGAGACTGCACTAGTATGTGTCATAGGTACAGAGTAGGAAGGCCTGAAGTGCACCAGTGCTCAAGGCCTCTGCAGTGGCAGGGAAATGATTAAATGAGACAGACACAGATAATCCTTGTAAGCACCCAAGCCCCCAAACTGCTGAAGAAGGCAAAGAGGGTAAAACAAACAAAACATTTTGTTTTGGGCCAAAAAAAAAAAAAATGTTGCATTTGACTCAAAAAAAATTATTTTTTGAGTTTGGATTTACAAAAAAAATAAATAAACCACACACACCCCAAACTCATTTAAAATAAGCCAAAACAATTTTTAAAAATGGTTCAGTTCAGCCACTGAATCATCATTCATACAGCTCTACTCAGCAAGCATCTGCACTTAGCAGAGCTAATACTCTGCAAACCTGGCACAGTTCCTGTTTGCAAGCTGTTTTCGCTATGAGATACGTGCTGCAGTTTCCTTCCCAGGGAAGAACTCTTCTCTCAAAAATAGACCCAGCTCTGCAGGGATCAGAACTCATCTCAGGGCAGTCTCACTCCGAGCATGCTGACACAAGAAATATGTTCTATTTGCAGGTCTGGGAGCTGTTACATGTTCCAATCTTTACTCTCCCTCTCTGTGTCGCTCATTCTGCATTCCTTCCCTCTTCTGGATCATCATGGGTAAAATCTAAATCTCTTCATTACACTGTGTTCAGTACACTCTGCCAAGGTAAAAACACACACTATAAAAAACAAACCTATGAATTACCCTATGCCATTACCTCAGTTTTGTTTCTCTGTTCGATCCATCTTTGCTACGAGAAAAGCAGTCATATCTTTATTATTTGTTTTTGTTTGGCAATGTCCTGCAATGTCAGTTTGGATTAGTAATTCCATACAGTGCACTAACGCTGATGCCCAGTCTGGGAGATAGAGCTGGGACAGTGGCAACAAGAAAGCCAGGATTGGGGAACAAAAACATGCCAGTCTAGCAACAGCTTTGACACCAGCAGAAAGAGTCATTGACTGTGTGGCAGAGGTTCCAATGCAAGATGAAGGAGCCACAACTTTGAATGAGGCACAGCTGAAGCTCTGGAAGGAAGAAAGCCTGTTACGTCTTCCAGAAAAGGCATATGACAATACAGAGAAGACTGGCCTGACTTGCAAGGCTACTGGTTAGACACCAAAGGACAGAGGCGAGCGTGAGCCATAACAATCAACTAATAGACCTGAGGGGATTCTGAAGGCTTTACATAGCAGCAAGAACGTGGGGCAAGATCTCAGCAAGATCTCAGTAGATAGTTGTGGGCAATTGTTTCTCTTCTGTAAGGGCTATCAAGTGTGGCGTGTCACAAGGTGCCATTCTGTCACCATTCCTGTTCAATGTGTACTTGGGGGTGTTAGGAGAGTTAATAAAGTGGCATGGAATGTGGCATTTTCAATATGCTAAGGACCCCCGAACGGTATGCCCCTGTCTTGTCCAATTCAGATAATGTAGTTCTGCTCTTCAGTGCCCACTTGAGACTGAATGAAAGCGTGCTGGGTGAAGCTCAGGCCAGATAAGACTGAGGTGTTGATGAGAGCAGTGAAGGCGGCAGCAGAGGGAGTGCAGCCGTTCAGCTGCTGCTAGATGTTTAGATCACAGGAGTAACCCAATCCGCTTTTTACCCTCTGTGCCTGGTTAGCAAGTTGAAACCTTTCCTTTCAAATGTGGCACTGGCAAAGTTATTTATACCTTTGTTCCCTCAAGGCAATGACATCAGAGACAGAAGCTGGTGCAGAATGCAGCAGCTCACTTACTGACTATTTCATTGAGAGTACGTGAAACCAGTGCTCCAGGATCTGAACGGGCTGTGTATTGGTCCGCTAGTGGTGATTAAGGTGTTGGTCATGATCTTTAAAGCCCTAAGTGACCTGGGACCTGCCTACCTGAGAGAATGCCTCTCTTCCCACACCATACTGCCCCAGCTGTGGCCAGCAGCTGCCCTCCAGTTGGATTCCTCTTGGTATCTCAGAGAGGAGTCTCAGCCTCTGGAACTTCCCCATTGGGCTGAAACAGCCACAATTGATGCCCTTTTAGGCCTGCTATAAAGGACACTTACTTGACAGGGCTTTTGAGGAATATTAAGGGGATGTTCCTGGAGGAGGGGCTGTGGGAAAGATGGTGCTGAAGGGGCTGTTTTGATTATTGGTGGAGGTAATTCATTTTTTCTGTATAACTACTATTTGCTGCTGGGTCATCATATGTAACCTTCATTAATTGGTAGGGCACCAAGAACTTTTTAATGAACATTTTAAAATTGTTATTAAAGGTACAAGTTGTCAGTGCAGCCCTCAGCCCATCAGGCTTTGGCCCCTTTAATCTAAGAGGACCAAATATTTCCCCCCACCAGCATTAGCTCTGTGGAATGAAGCTAAAATAAAGGTATGGATCTGAAGTCACACCATTCATACTGTATGGCATGAAAACCAGAACTACTGCAGTCTTTGTAGTTAAGCTGTAGGGCATAGAACCATTCAGACAACACCTAGCCTAAGCATTAAAAAATGTTTTTTCATGATTCTCTTACTGTATTTTTCTAGCATGGGCTCTATTACTTCAAGGTTATGTCTTCACTATGAAATTAGGTCGATATAGAAGTCAATTTTTAGAAATTGATTTTATACAGTCGATTGCATATGTCCACACTAAGCGCATTAAATCGGCAGTGTGTGTCCTCACTACCGTAGCTAGCATCGATTTACGGAGCGGTGCACTGTGGGTAGGTATCCCACAGTTCCCGCAGTCTCCGCCGCCCGTTGGAATTCTGGGTTAAGTTCCCAATGCCTTATGGGGCAAAAACATTGTCACAGGTGGTTTTGGGTACATGTCGTCAGTTGTCCCTCCCTCCGCAAAAGCAACAGCAGACAATCGTTTCATGCCTTTTTTCCATGCAGCCGCCATACTGCTTTCAGCAGACAGTGCAGTAGGACTTTTAACCATCATCATCCACCGCTTCCACTGCAACTCTGCTCTGCTGCTATTGTCTCAATAGCGAATTTCTCCATGTTGTCTGACATGGCAGCCTGGACAGTAGTCAGGAGCTGTTCAACTATAGGCTGAGCAAGTGCAGAATGGTGGTAGAATGTGCATTTGGATGTTTAAAAGCGCGCTGGTGCAGTTTACTGACTCGGTTAGACCTTAGCGAAACCAATATTCCCATTGTTTTTGCTGATTGCTGTGCGCTCCACAATATCTGTGAGAGTAAGGGGGAGATGTTTATGGTGGGGTGGGAGGTTGAGGCAAATCATCTGGCCGCTGATTACACACAGCCAGACACCAGGGCGATTAGAAGAGCACAGCAGGACACGCTTCGCATCAGAGAAGCTTTGAAAACCAGTTTCATGACTGGCCAGACCTTCTGTTGCTTGGGCAGTCCTCTGGGGTGGAGTGGTTGGATGTCCGGAGGGGGCCCCCCCTCCCCGCGTTCTTGGGCATCTGGGTGAGGAGGCTATGGAACTTGGGGAGGAGGGTGGGCGGTTACACAGGGGCTGCAACGGTGGTCTGTGCTCCTGTTGCCTTTCCTGCAGTTCCACCAGATGCTGGAGCCCATCAGTTTGATCACCCAGTTGCCTCAGCATTGCATCCTACCTCCTTTCATCATGCTGCCACCACCTCTCCTCTTGCTCTTCCCTCCTGTCCTCTGCTTCATTTTCTGCTTTCATGGACTGAACTAACACTGCTGCCATTGTTTGCCTGAACGCATTCTGCTGAGCTCTTTCAGTGCAAGAGGACTGCATGAGCTCAGAGAACATTTAATCGCGAGTGCGTTTTTTTCGCCTTCTTATCTGTGCTAGCCTCTGGGACAGAGGCGATAGGGGGAGCGTTGAAACATTTTCAGCTGCGGGAGGAAAAAAAGGGAGTGTAGTATTTAAAAAGACACATTTTAGAGAACAAAGGGTAGACTCTTTCATGGTGAACCACGCTGATAACATTACATAGCACATGTGCTTTCGGTACAAGGTTGCATTTTGCCTCTTATATTGAGGGCCTGCCAGTTTGGTGTGAGACATCACACACGCAGGGCCAGGCAACAGAATTCGGCTTGCAGGCAGCCATGGTAAGCCACAGTCTTTCAGCTTCTTCAACCTTCATA